CTTCAGCACAGCCAACAAAGGTTTATGATGGGTCAGTCCTCCTGCATGATCAGATCATTCCCGTCCCTTGCTTGAAAAATTGTTCCAAAATGAAAGTTGAACCCACATCTTTTTTATCTGTGAATTCAATGCCTTGTGGCGAGTCTCAAATAAAAATTTGGGCGTCTTTTTACTGTAAAAAAAAAAACTATACCACTGATGTAAAAAAGAAACTCCATATACTGTAATTCCTCTAATACAGGCCCGGGCCTGTATTTGACTCAAGCTCATCAAGCTCCAGGCCTTTATTGGAAGGAGGACCAGAATTAGAGGCAGGTCTCAATTTCTATTTGAGCAAAATGAACTAATGGTTCGCTGGAGTTTTTGACAATTAAAATTGCGCTCACATTTTCAAAGTTAAACACATTTCTTTTAACAACGGTAGTTTCTGCTTCAGCCATCTCCCCCCTCCCCCTGCGCAGCGGCCGCAAACTCACTGATGCCCTGCAGCCTCTCGGAGTTCCTGCTGCTCTAAACATTAAAATAATTATTTCAATTTCTGTTCCTCACTTCTGATTACCTTCAATGGTGTCTGTTTGTTGCAACCACCAGGTACAAAAACTAACTTGTTTTTATTTGACTATTTTTCTGTCCTGCCCGTTTATTATCTTCCTGCATCTCCTCTCAATCCTAAAGAAAAACTGCTACCTGGGTTCATATATATTCACCTTATGAGTTACCTTTGAACTGCAGTTCTAAAAGATCTACCAACCGCAAAAACAGCGGAGTGCTCGCCGGCCACATCAGTGATCGGTGCGTCACCGAGGACAAAACAGGTGATGCCCCCGATCCACAGCAGCGAAACGCATCAGGCACAAATAAAAGAATAAAAGACAGAAAACATAAAAGGAAATGAGCCGACATGAACGATCGCGTGTTAAATTAGTTTTTGAGGTGGCGACACCTGATTTGATAATGTTACTGTGGCCGTGCTCAGGACGCAGACGTCAACAATCAGAGCTTTGCATGCGCAAGCTGGTTAAGGTTAGGATGGGGGTGAGGGGAAGGTTAAATTGCAAGAGGGTAAAGGTCACAATTTGGTTAAATGTCCATTTTACGGCGGGTGTCAGTACGGACGCTCTGGCACAGCGCGTTGCCTCCCGACGCGCAGGAGCTTGTCACCTGCTGACAGCAGGCTGCTGTCTTTTCCGTGGACTGCACATCTTGCCGATCATTATCACGTGACAGCGACTAGTCGATGACAGGCATAAAAAGTCACTATAGAGCGGTGAAGTCGACTAGTGACTAGTTCATACAACCCCTGCTACTGCTCCCCAGAGTGTTCAGCAGCATAATCAGCACGTTCTCTTTGAACTTGATATCAAATTTTCGCCTCCTCTTCGTCTCCGCACGGTTAAAGTTACCCTCGCGGTCTATCACTGGCAAATCAAAAGTGAGACGGATGACACAACCGCCCCCGTACTTGCTTGTTACCACATTCCACCCGGCCACAATAAAAAACCGGCCATTATTCACCTCCGCCGACTCCGACACCGGCCAAAATATGATACCTGGCAGTTAATTAAATACAGGCTAATATTAGAGGATTTACGGTAAATTATGTTCACACCCGGAATCAAACCCAGGGCTTCAGCATGAGAGTCCGACGTCTTACTAGGTGAGCTAAAGCACCAGTAACATTTGGCGTATCTGTAACATTTATATCCTTGATGAAAGCTGAAACAACGTCAACCAAAGAACGGTTCAAAGCGAAAATGGCTATTTTGTTGCTAATTTGCAGGAAATGTCTAGAAGAACGTTCTACAGAAAGTAGCTAAGGGTCCTCAGAAATGTAGCTAGGTTCATCACTAGGCGTTAGGAACAGCGACAAAGTTGCTGAGTTGACACTACCTCACTCTCTGCTGCTAAAGCTATGGATAGCAAATGCTACGGGCTATGCCTGAGCGTGAACGCGCATGAAGCAGCCTGCTCGACCCAAGCAGCTCTCTTTTTCTGTGATTTTACAGAAAAACAGGCAATCACAGTAAAAATGCCAGGGCTCATTCTACAGGACCAGGGCATTGCAGGAGAATGTATGAAGAAGAAATTTATTATTTCTATACATGTTTTGACAAACTTCCTTATAGTCACTTTAAGTTTAGAAATAAATTAAAATTTCCAACCTATAAAACTCTGCTTACCCAAGGCTCGACACGGTTTCTGCTTTATAAATCACACCTATCCTACAAATGTGCTCAGGTGTTTCTGGATCACATCCCTCCTCCTACACCCCACCACCATAAATGGACAATGCAAACTACGTTATGAATACTGTGCAAATAAATTAACCTACTTATCACGAGTAACCATGACAACCAAGGCAGACATCCACGTTCTGGACGTAGGCACGGAAATAATGTTTTATTTCCTTCAAGTGGAAACACTGCTGCAATGGTGAGCTGTGGAGCTATCAGCGGATATAAATAAAAAATAAATAAAACATTTAAAGAAGTGGTCAGATGGAGCCTAGGATGGCAATAAAGACAGATACCATCAACAAAGGCAGCACTATGGTGTGCAGGGAGGGATCGCTGTCTTTTCCGTATCTAAGAGGAAAATTTAATGAACATTTCATTTAACCCAAAAGGGCTTTAGGCAGAAAATATTGTTCATATCAAACAAATAACAGCCCGATTGTTCCCCACCGTGCTGGAACGAGCCGGTGTTCTGTCAGAAACCCTGATAGATGCAACACTGCTCGGTTCGCTGCGGAGCTGTTGAGGCTTGATTCACAGAAGCACTGTGGTGCTCAACACAGTTAATGTGCCAATAAGCCATCTGAAGACGTAAAAGTAATATCTTAAAAACACATTTTAATTACAGATGTAATTTTCATTCTCGGTTCAGAGATGAGGGGCTGATTGTTGGTTGCTTTTGTGTGTGTGTGTGTGTGTCTCAACAAGTCTGTAAATGTGTCCTAAATAAAACATTTTACCATCTCACCGTCTACAAAATGTGCTTACTATGGTCCAACGTTTGCCCAAAGTTGCGCACGTTTTTCTGTCAAGTTTTTCTTTCTGTATCACGACACTTATGCAATGTTCAGACTCGTTTTGTGAGTAAGCAGCTTTATAAAAGAGGCCCTTGAACATAGTAATAGTCATTTCTGCAGCTTTTAAACCAGGGGTGTCAAATATGCGGCCCGCGGGCCGGATCCGGCCCGCAAGCGGGTTAAATCCGGCCCGCGAGATGGTTGTGTAAACTTTATTTTCATACTTTACAATGTAGAGTGAAAATAAACGTATCTTTGTGAGCAAGTTTTCTCTGTAACGAGTATAAATAAAACAAAGCTGCGCTCAAGGCTCACACAAGAACTTGAATCACATCCTGAAGTTGGCCGCCACTCAGGATGTGACTCCTGATATTGATGTGCTGGTGAAAGCTAAAAGATGTAAAGTAAAATGAGTCAAATATACTTTAAGTGCTGCATGAAACTGATCTTGCCATGTGATCTGTAAGCTCTTTGAATCACTAAGGAATGTTTTTTTATTTGTTGATTTTTTTATTTTTTCAAATTTTCAAGTACACTTCAGGTGTTGTACTTGTTCTACACTGTCCTCAGGCTCCAGCCTCGTTTTATATTGATTGTATTAAAACAAAGAAAACAATCTGAAGGTTTTTTTTTAATTTACCGGTCCGGCCCACTTGGGACTAGATTTCCCTCAATGTGGCCCCTGAGCTAAAATGAGTTTGACACCCCTGCTTTAAACAGTGCTGTGGCTTTCCCCCGCCACAATAATAACAAAGTATTTTTATTGTAAAGTGTAATCTAGTTTACCGTTCACTTCTTTAAATAATTTATTTTTTTCTCAATTATTTGGTCTTTTTAAAGGGACTTTAATAATAATAATGCATTGAACTTATATAGCGCTTTTCTAGACACCCAAAGACGCTTTCACACACTCTCACATTCACACACTGCTAGTGATGGTAACCTACTTGTAGCCACATCCGCCCTGGGGAGGTCTGACAGAGGCGAGGCTGCCATTTGGCGCCGTCGGCCCCTCTGACCACCACTAACACAGGCAAGTTGGGTGAAGTGTCTTGCCCAAGGACACAACAGCAGGATACCCCTGGCGGGAGCTGGAATCGAACCCATGACCCTCTGATCATGAGGCAACCTGCTCTACCACCTGAGCTACTGCTGCCCCACGGAGTTTTGAATTTTTATGCTAGCGATTGCCCCCTCAGGCCAAGAGTGTAACGGCAGCTTCAATAGTAGGCTCGTGCACGAGGCGCGCATGCTATACGTACACACTTCTTAACGAAAATAACAGCTGAGACAGCCAGCTCTGTGTGTGTGTGTGTGTGTGTGTGTGGGGGGGGGGGGGGGGGGGGGGGGGGCTTGGAGGACAGGAGAATGCGCAGCTAATTAATTAAATAATTTGGTTCTGTACCTTTCTCTTCAGCACAGCCGACAAAGGTTTATGACGGGTCAGTCCTCCTGCATGCTCTTGAAAAATTGTTCCAAAATGAAAGTTGAACCCACATCTTTTTTATCTGTGAATTGAATGCCGTTTGGCGAGTCTCAAATAAGAATTTGGGCATCTTACTGTAAAAAAAATACCATTAATGTAAAAGAGAAACTCTACAACAACTATGTTCACATCCAGAATCGAACCCGGGTCTTCTGCACTCAAGTTTGACATCTTACTAGGCAAGCTAACGCGCCAGTGACGTCACTTGTATCTGTACCATTTAAGAACAGTTCAGAGGGCTATGCCTGAGCGTGAACGCGCATGAAGCAGCCTGCTCGACCCGAGCAGCTCTCTTTTTCTGTGATTTTACAGAAAAACAGGCAATCACAGTAAAAATGCCAGGGCTCATTCTACAGGACCAGGGCATTGCAGGAGAATGTATGAAGAAGAAATTTATTATTTCTATACATGTTTTGGCTGTCAAACTTCCATAATGCCCCTTTAACTTCTATTACATCAACAGACTTTGCATTTTGCCATTACCAGATACAGAAGGAAGGTGTGCAGCCCAGTCCCGAGTCCCACTGAAGACAGGATCCCAAGGCCTACCCAGTAGGCACACCATAGGAACTTCTTCTCCAGGTACTGAACATACTGCAGACAAAAACATTTTAGGTTAGGTCAAACAAGGAAAGAGTCATCTAACAGTAAACAAATTTATACAAGGTATGAAGTACAACAGGTGCACTTCTATTCTTTTTATTCAAAAAAGACACAGCACAGCATACAAATGAATTAAATACAGCTTCATTTTATATTTCTACTACTCTAACAATCAAAGACCAATAATTCAACATTTGTTTATAATCATACAACACAGTTTTAACTTAAATAATTTAGGATTTCACTTCCTGACCACTCATTTATTCCACCGATTGTCAAAAAGACCTGACGATCAAAGGTTACCTGACAACGTCTCCCTACACAAGCTTTCAGCTAGCAGCGTGTTTTTGTGATAAACGCTGACTTATCGTCGACCTTTACACAGACAGCGATGACGTAGTGGTGTTGATCATTATGTGTGTGTTGCAAGTGAAAACAAAGTCAAGACCAACCTCTTGGTGTGCTCCTTCAGCGGAGTATGTGACAGAGAAGAGAGAGCAGAGCACTAACAATAAGAACACTGCTCCTCTTCGGTGCCAAAGCCTGAGATCAAACACAGGAAGAGAATATGTTAAAAATGTATTTTACTACGTAAATTTTATTGAAAGAATTTAATTTATAAGAACATTAGAATGGATCTATAGCTCTGCATTTTCTCTCTTAAATATGTGTTGTGCTGTCGATGGCGTAAAACCCACACACGGTTTAAAAACCTTCAGATCAAACAGGACAAAAGTTCAAAGCAACACCAGAGAAACATAAAACCCGCTGAACAACTCACTTATATGTCCACTCCTTTAGCATGATGAGGGTCTCCAGTAGAAAATACTGTAGGGTGGTGACAGGTCTCCTCCATAAGACCAGAGAAAGACGCTCGTCCTTGTCTTTCTGCCGCCTGTCTCTGACTGATAAGTCTGAAGGACAAAAAAAGATTAAATTGCTTTGAGCTTTAGTGTTAATAACAGTTTCATTAACCATTACATCCTGTGGGATTGATAAAGTTAAATACATAATAAATAATTTTGTGAAATGGGATGTCCTTGTCCTGTCTACACAGGAGGAAAGTGAAAGCAAATAACTTTATGACTTTTGTATCCCAAGAGGTGTTTACAAGTCTTCTCAGAGGGGATTCAAAGGTCATGGCTGACTTCTGATCTGTACATTTAAGTTTTACTAACCAACCTGTGGGCTTCCCGTTCTGTTTGTCTTTGGGTCCTGCACGTTTCTGAGGCTGCTCACAACTCGCTCCATTGGCTGCCATGTCAGAAAAGTAGGCAGCAGTTTGTGTGGTAATCCTTCAGCCGCGTCCTCTCTTCCTACCGGCCCAAGAAGGACAGACAACAGCCGAGACGTGAAGTCCTAGGCAGCGGCTCTTAGGCAATACCTGTCAAAGGGACAACGCACGAGCGGGTAGCTAGTAATTATAAAGAATACAGGAGAAATACCATAAAAATGAGCTGCAGTTTGCGATGATACTACCGAGAATCGTACAGCAATAAGGTAGAGAGCGAAGTGAAAACCTGTCTGTCTGTAGGAAAGTCTGTAACAAGATATGAAGCCGAGCAAGTGCGTGTTCATAACCTCCACATGCTAACCGGTTAGCCGGGGACACCGGGGGACTACACAACCAGTTATCGGCTTCAGACCGTAAAACTAGTAGAATACCTGGTAGATAAATATATGAAACTATAGTCTGCTTTGATATTGGTGCAGTAATAAAAACAAAAGCCCTATAACGAAAAATAATTGTATGTTTGATGAAACCAAATGACATCGTCTTACCTCTTTCCTGTTCGCTTTATCCGGAAGCAAATTTCATACATGTCACAATAAACGTCTATATTTCAATGCATTTACCTTCTTTTGTCAACAGATTCATCAACTGCCAACTTCCTATTAAATAATACATGCAATCTAAATATATTACAAATAACCTCACTTTAACAGCGTTCTGCCGATCAATGTGCTATTTTTGTGTTACTTGCTAAAACTTTTATTGTGTAATTCAGTTAAAGGGGTGTTTGCGTAAGTTCCGCTTTGACGTCCAATCAGAGGTTGCCAAATTTGCAACAACAAACTGTGGCAACTTTGACACTTGGAAAATGACGGCATTCATGTGAAGCGTGAATCCTCCACATTCACATGTGTTGGAAATTGAAGTGGTTGATTTTTAAGAGCCAAAATATCTTCTCAGTATTTTATACTTTCAGTCAAAAAATAAATAAAAGCTTTTAAACCAAGAATCTGGATTTTCCACTTTTTGGCCCCCAAAAGTTTGATTTATTAAGCCGTTAAACCAACTTGGCTCTGTGCAACAATGTAATCGGCAGAGGTGTGGACTCGAGTCATTGTTTTAATGACTTCTGACTTGACTTGATAAAATCTATAAAGACTTACGACGAGAAAGCAAATGACTTGCAACTTGAATCGACTTGCATCTGTTGACTTGTGCATATTTAATATTTCACCACAAAAGTGGCACGACATCGACAAAAGTCATAAATCATTCTTCGTTCTAGGTTTGATCTTGTACTGCTAAATGCAGCACTTTGTTTAAAATCTATTTCAGTTGCACTTTCTGCTTGTTGAAACAAATAAATTAAGCTTTAATTCTGGAATTTATTTATTATCATTAAACAGAAGTTGGGACAGATGACTTATGACTTGAAAATTCAAAGTTAAGAACTTGAACTTCCAATTCATTGACTTTGGACTTGACTTGGACTCCACTTACAAAGCAGTGACTTGGTCACACCTCTGGTAATCAATCCCTCAACTTAAAAACAGGTAATGACAGTGCAATCTAATATTTGTAATAATCAATAATAAGCCATGAACACAACTGATTTGTTTAATTTAGTGATGAATCACTCATGTAGAAACCAATGAAGGCTGGGAGAAATTTCAGCATTTAGATTAAGATTAGATAGGTTTTGCTTTCAGTTTGACCACAAAGAATAACAGACACTAGGGGGTGCTGAAAGCAAGCAAAACTGCCAAGCTTGCCTTTAAAATATAGTTAGCTCTGAAATTGAATTTTCTTTTTACTCGGATTATCATTTGTAACATTTAGGCAAAAGCTGAAGAAATCCATAAGGAGACAAACACTTTTTTTTTACCAACAACTTTGTAGACAGGAATCAGATGGTAAACCAAGCTGCCATGTATAATAAATGTCTGCACCAGAAATAAACACATTTTAATTACAACAGTTATTTCTGAGTATTTAAACAGCAATGTCACATCTGAGAGCTGAAGAGGAATATTCTGTACAGACATATGCTACAAACATTATAAGAGTTTTTTTATCCAAGACAACCACACCAAAGTATAAGGAAAAGCCTCAAGTCAACATTATCCAAACAGACCAAAATCAGATTTTAAAACCATCAGTGTTGACTGTAAGAATCCAATAAAAGTCAAATATTGACCAAAAGACTGGTTTGAGTCACTCATTCACATCAAACATCCACCTGGGGAAGGTGCCCATCAAAACGGTGAAGGGCAGATAAAAATACAAAAAAACAACAACTATAAAAACATGAAAGGAGCCTTAGTTCCCCTGCTGCTGCATAAACCAGGATTTTATTCTGGATGACCCACAGCAGAAAAACAACCCCTAAAGAACACACAGCAGCTTAAAGTTTAAGGCATAGTAACTGAAGGAACCGTGAAGTACTGGTTCAGCAGATGGCTTATTCTATTCCTGGACAGCGACCCAGATAGATTGTGGCAGTCTTCGCCTGTGTTCAGGTTTATTCGTCGTAGTGAAGTGAGGACAGAAATTTCTCCACATCCAGGTCATGAGGAAAGCAATCAATAAGTTTCTTTCTTTCCTGTAAAAAAAAAAAAAAAATACAAAACACAATTAAACAAAAGAAGCAGCAAGCTTTTATTTTGAAATAAAATAAAACTCTAAAGTGTTTAGAGAAGATCAGATCTTTAAATAAAATCTATCAAAACAACGTAAAGAAGGAAAAGCTATTTAGCAATAGCTGATGAAAAATACAAAACAGCAGAGCAAAGCCTGTTTTGTTAAACTGCTGTTCTTGTTCAGGGCCAACAGAGGGCGCTGAGCTCTGCTGCTGAGTCTACTCACTTGGTCTTTCTTCCTGCTGGGAGATCTTTTGCTCTCTCTCTTTGCAGGAGGGCTGTCCGCTGGAGAGGTCCGTTTACGTTTCTTATTCTCAGAGTTCTTGGAGCTCGTGGGCTCCTTTTCTCCCGCTCCTTCCTGGCGCATGCTGTCCTTCAGCGGGGTGCCTGTCCTGGCGATGGCAGCGCGGGACAGAATCATGAGGGTGTGTGCGGCCATGTTAATGCTATTCTCGCTCCCTGCTTCACTTGCAGGGCTGCAGGTGGGTACATCTGAGGCGTTTGAAGGTATTAGGTGCCTGGGGGTGCTTTCACCCTCTTTGCCTTTTCTGTGTCGGGATGGAGTCCTGGGACAATCAGCTGGAGTTTCAATGGTTCGGTCCGTCCCAGGGAGACGGAGCTCTGGACTGCCAGCACCAGGTTTTTTGACTGGAGTGGATGGGGAGCCGAGTCCTTGCAGCATTTCAACCGCCTGTTTGGCCAGAGAGCTGGCCTTTGATGGGGGCTTTGGGGTGTTAGGTTGGGTGCGAGGGGACGGCTGTGTGACAGCTGGAGGACTGAAGTCTCTTGATGCAGAGGAGGAAGGCGCCGACGGCTGCTGCGGCTCCGGCACGCTTCCCTTCATCTCATTCTCCTTGTTGGAGCGAACGTTAGGCACCTCCTGGGAGGGAGTCCTCTTTTCTGGTCGCCCCTCACGTAGCCTCGCAGGAGCCTTGTCCGCCGCTTCTTTCCTGCTGCCCTCTTCTCTGTCCTTTCTGCTTCCTGGTTTTAGTGCAGACTCATTGGACCTGGACCCACGAGCATCTTTAGCTTTAACTCCACCGTTACATCCATCAGCTGTTGATGCTTCCTCTGGTTCGGACCGCTTCTCAGCTTCCGGATCTTTGTCGTGAACGCTGTACACCTGCTTGCGAGCGTTCTTTTTAACAGAATCCTTCTGCTGCATCTGTGGAGGGACAGACTGTTTCAGCGAAGTCGCTCCGGCCCGAGGAGCAGATGTACATTGGACCGGCGCTATCCTCCGTTTGGGTTTGTTGCCACCCAGAATGTTGGGTTTTGTCCTCCCGTCCTTCTCAGGCTGCTGCTCAGGTTGCGATGCAGATGTTTTTGAGGCAGCTGGGGAGGTTTCAGTTTCAGTTGCTTTAGCAGACTGTGGCTGAATTTCAGGCGACGAGGAATCAAAACACAAAATCCTCTTGTGGCTGGAACTTTTCGCTGCATCCTGCTGGCGCGACTTTTCACCCTGAACCACGGCTGGCACCCTTTTATCAGCTCCTGGAACCACAGGTCATCAGAGTCAGACGTTGAGTTGAAAGGGCTGCTGCGGTTTCATCAGTAACTCACCTGAAGCTGGTTTGGTTGCCACTGTGGTGGGACTGGATTCTTTCTGCTGTACTGGTGCAGGGTTTGATGGGTCAACAAGCTGCAAATCCAACAATGAGCCGAAGCATCAACAAAATGATCGACGTCCGTTTCTAACCGTAAACAATAACGTAGGCTTACCTGGAGCTGTGTTCCTGCTGCGCTCTGCCCCAACACAGAAACAGGAAGCACCACAGGCTTCATGGGTGATGGGAGGATAAATGCTGAGCCTGCACAAAACAAAAAGACATTTTATTCTAATAACTCTAATCACATAAAAGTTGTGAAAAATACCCTAACAATTCTATCCATAAAGGACAACACATATGTGATCCCTCTCCCGCAGCATGGACTTAACTTCCTTTATTAATCTATGAACACCCTTTCCCCCTTTTTGGTACAAAAATATCCCGTATAAATGATCAAATACGCTTTATTACTATAAAAAACACTTATCTCTAATTATCTGCAGTTTGCTTTCCTATAAGACTATTTTTGCAACATAAATATCTTAATTAAATCCTAGATTATTTTATTTCAAATTAAAATCACAGATAAATTTAATGCAACACACAAATAATAAAATAATTTCTTTGTTGCAAATGACATTTTTATCCTGTCAGGATAAACTTTCTCTGAAACCACAACTTTAAGTTTTAATTGTAACTTGTTGCACATAAAAACAACACCTGCGCACCGTTTCCTAACATCAATCACTGTTACGTCAGACAAACTAGAGGTAGTTCGAGTCTATTCAGGAACAGCTGAAGTCTTGCTCTCACCTGTGGAGAAGCTTTGAGGGTATATGGGCGTCGTCCCCCTGTGCTGATTGGCAGGTAAAGGTGAGCCATGTGAGACACCAGCAGGAAGTAGCACCTGTCTGGGCTGAACATCTGTAGTTGGAGTCAAAAGGTAAAAGCTGGCAGCAGCGGCTTGCAATCCGGGGCTGGCGGCGTCCACGGGAAGCTGAACTATAAATCTCTGCTGGTTCTGAGGTGTCCCGACGAACGGAGTGGTGTTGACTGCTGCAGCTTTACAGCTGAGAGGAGTGCCACATGCCTCTGAGCTTTGCAGGCCACTCACAGCCTGTGCCACCTCATCATAGTTGGCTTTTGGAGTGGCGGGGCACTCGGGGGACTTGGCTGGGGAGGAAAGGTAGATGGTGGGTATCTTGTCCCCAGAAATGCTGGAGATAGCCCGACTCAAGGCTGCGTCGCTGGAAGCATCCTCATCCTGGCTGTCACTCACGATGATCTTTAAGGACACCATGTTGCTGGAGTCTGTCGCCATGCATAAGGTGGAGGGGTGGGTGGCTGAGGGAGTGGGCGTCGCTGCAACCGGAGCACAGGAGAATGCAGGTGAGAGAGGAGTTGCTGAGGTGGATGAGGCTGGTGCAAGGATGGGAGCCGATGATGATGGTGAGGTAACTGTAACTGAAACAGCTGTAGCAGGGAGAGATGATGCAGCCAGTGTGTTTTCAGTGGCTGAACCTGATGGACGAGGCGTGCAACCAGCCACTGAACTAAAAAAATCAGGCTGATCCATCACAGGAAAAGAAATTATTTTAGACAGTTGCTCATTTGATGTTTTGTTTACATTTGAGGCATCTGTAAATGTGGTGGGACCGTCGGCTGAAGGCACGGGGACCGATTTACCCAGACAAGAGGCGGTGGAGGTGCTGGTGTGCTCCTGAGAAACCAGACTGTCTAAAGGAGGGGGAGGAGGTGTGTGCAGCGGTTCATCAATATCCATTTGTGTTACACCCCCACTATCAATCAGAAGATTAGGTTTTTCTTTCCTCCCGGAGTTCAGTGCAGCAGATGTGGCCCCTTGGGGGTCCCCGTGAGTCACCAATAGTCTGGCAGAGCTGTTCTCAATCCTGGAAGCCCGGCCGCCGGAGTCCAGGACAGTTTTTTTCACTACAGTGGACACAGTGGACTTCCTGGTCTTACGCTCTGGAGCAGCCCTGACCTTTAAAGCGGCTGGCTGGATGCCAGACACACTGGCGTCAACATGTGTTGGACCTGAAAAACAAATAACAGTGATACAAATTTGAGATTCTGTCTACAAAATCATAATCGGATCACTTCTTAAAGCCTTAAGCAGACAGAAAAGAATGCTTTCTAATAGGCTGCTGCAGCTCCATGGCAACAAATCCCTTTAACTTTATTTGTATGGCTCATTTTAAAACACAAATATAAATCAAAACACTTAAAGACAAAAATACCCTCAACATGACTCTGAAGGGGCTGGACAGCAGATGAAGCTTGAGCTGCCTCGTCCAGACTACTGCCCGTGTGTCCATCAACTGCTTCCTCATCAGGTGATTTAGTTTTATCTGCAAATGTAAAATCATTTCATCAACTTTAACAGAGCCTTCCCAGGACTCGGAATAAATAGATGTAGATTATAGTTACTGTAATCAAAGAGGTCAAAGAGGGCCTGAAACGCTGGATCGGACTCTGTTTGCTCCAAAATGTCATGAATGGCGTCATCACTCATATGGATTTCCCCCTGATAAAAAGATACACACTTAAATAAGTTTAGCATCACACAAATAGGATCAAAAATACTATTCTAGGCCATTTTGGCACCTGAAGTCCCAGAATTTCATCTATAGACTGCTCGGCCTCCACCGTGCTCACAGAGGCTTTGGATGTTGGAGGAGTGGGTTCGCTGGTAGCAGAGGTCAAACACAGAGAGAATTAATCAGATAAAATCTACTTCCATCCACACATAACTGTTACAAAATTAAATTAAAATCACGTAAATAAGTCAGGAGTTATTTCAGAGGGAATTCTGACGTTCCCGTCTTGCATAAGGCGTAGCAACGGACTGACGCTGCCCTCAAACACAGCAGTTACCCTCCAATCACCGCAGTTCCTCTGAGGTCCATGAATGGATCATCTTAAAGTAACATGTTAAGACCAGCAGTACAACCAACCAATCACACGGCAGAGTGAGATAACAGGAGGAACTAGACACCTTTAAGAAACAATAAAACAGCACACACACACACGCACACGCACACACACACACACCAAACTCACTTGGCCAGAATTTTGTTGATGTTTTCAGCGAGTTTCTCCTGTAACAGCCGGTCTCCCAGAATCTTGTCACAGGCGTTCTGAATCACCAGTTGCTTTGGAGATTGAGACAGTTCGTGAGGACAGGAAACAGAAAGGGACTAAATGAAACATCTGGATTACAGTTCAGTATCTCCATACACCTCGCAGGCAAAGACTAATGTTAATTTACTTTCATACATTTGAGACTTACAGGAAAGTTCTCATCAACAGCCTCCTCGGGTTCGGCTTCTGCACCGAGGCTACTGGCGGCCGGGGCAGATCTGCTCGGAGCACTGGGTCCACTTGGGCCACTTCTTTTCCTGGGGGTGTCCCTGAAGGCATCAGAGAGGCAACAGAAAATGTAACTACTGGAGCAGAGTCAGACAGGAAAAGCAGGATGAGCCTAGAACCCAAAGCAGGATTAAACCGTAAATTTAGCATCTGTGACGTAAAACAGAATCCGTAGTTTCATGAATACGTAAAATCATAAACAGCGGGTAATTTCTAATATTGCATAATGGCTCTAAAGTTCAGCAATTTGGCCAGCTTTTAAAAACAAACTTGCTAATATGTCCTCCACCTGTGCTTTTCTGTAATCCTTCATCTGTTTTAACTTAAACCCTCACCATTTCCGTCGAGCAGGAGAAAGTGGGCCTGAATTTAGTCGCTGCTCTGAGACGACGACCTGCACCGGCGAATCCCCTACAACAGAAAAGTTTTATTATTCATTTAAAAAAAGGCTTTTTATGAGCTTTTTTGCAAGCAAAATTACATTTTGCTGAACTGATATTGATATGGCCCTAAAGTAGCAAGGAACAAAGTCGGCATTGTGGCTGTATTTTTCGTTAAAATCTGAAAAAGACAGTTTGGCTCAGTGCAACATTTGTCATCCACAAGTTTCCTGTGGTAGAACAGAACCAGGGAAGATCAATACGTCCAACATGGTCGTGCATTTGAAGCAGGATCACAAAACAGTGCATGAGGATTTTCAATGTGGGAAATTGAAACTTTAGACACTCAACTTGTAGCAGTTGGTCAGTGAATAAAATTTTTTTTCTTATGTCCCCAACCTCAGCTGTTCACATTTACGCAACCAAAGGTGAATAAAAAAAATGTGGTCAGTTTTTTATACTTACCGTTGCTGGCTTTTGTTTTCTGCTATAGTAATATTCAATGCAATTCAATTCAAAAATACTTTATTAATCCCAGAGGGAAATTGATTGCTGTAGTAGCTAAAAATAATTAAAAAAATAATAATCAAGTCATCAAAGAGTAATTGTATATTACAATGGCTGTTGGCAGGAAGGATCACCAGTAGCGGTCAGTGTTGCAGCAAAACTGAAGAAGTCTCTGACTGAAGACACTCTTCCGTTGTCGGACAGTCTTGTGAAGAGAATGCTCAGGGTTGTCCATCATTTTCTTGATTCTCTGGAGAATCCTTCTTTGCATTATCTCCTCCAGTGGTTCCACAGTCGTCCCCAGAACAGAACCAGCCTTTTTTATTAGGCTGTTGAGCCTTTTCAGGTCCCTGCTTCTGATGCTACTACCCCAACAGACGATGGCTGAAGAGATTACACTCTCAACAACAGACTTGTAGAAGATCTGCAGCATCTTGCTACAGACATTGAAGGACCTAAGCGTCCTCAAGAAGTGCAGTCTGCTGTGTCCCTTCTTGTAAACGGCTTCGCTGTTCTTTCTCCAGTCCAGTCTGTTGTCCAGGTGAACTCCAAGGTATTTGTATTCCTCAACCACCTCCACTTCTTCTCCCATGATGGAAACAGTGTTTGACTCCACACAGTGTTTGACTCCACCCTGTTTCTTCTGAAGCCTAAAATCATCTCCTTTGTTTTGTTCACATTCAAGGTCAGATGATTGTTTCCACACCATGCCACAAAGCGCTCCACCAGCTCTCTGTACTCAGCTTCCTGTCCATCTCTGATACACCAGACAACTGCAGAGTCATCTGAGTATTTCTGTAGATGACAGGCCTCTGATTTGTACTGGAAGTCTGAGGTGTACAGGGTGAAAAGGAATGGTGAGAGTAAAGTCCCCTGTGGTGTTCCAATGTTACTGGTCACCTGGTTTGATGTGCAGTTCTTCAGCCTCACAAACTGTGGTCTGTTTGTCAGGTAGTCTTTAATCCAGGTGATAGTTGAGGCCCCCACCTGTGTCTTCTGGAGTTTCTGGCAAAGTAAATCAGGCTGGATTGTGTTAAATGCACTGGAGAAATCAAAGAACATGACCCTCACAGTGCTGCCTGCTTTGTCCAGATGACAGTGGATTGGTTGAAGCAGCTGAAAGATGGCATCTTCAACTCCAACTCCATGGCGATAAGCAAACTGCAGCGGGTCCTGATATGTTCTAGTTTGCTTATTCAGGTGGACCAACAGGAGTCTCTCCAGGACCTTTATGATGTGGGATGTTAGGGCAACTGGTCTGTAGTCATCATTGACTGATGGATGAGTTTTCTTTGGAACTGGAACAAGGCAGGATGTCTTCCACAGGACTGGAACCTTCTCCTGGGCCAGGCTGAGGTTGAAGAGGTGCTGCAGAATCCCACAGAGCTGCTAGTGCACAGGCCCTCAGTACCCTGGGGCTAACACCATCTGGACCTGCAGCCTTGTTCCTGTTCAGTCTCTCCAGCTGGCTCTTCACCTGACTTCTAGAGGCAGATATGTGGGAGGGGGAGGTAAATGGGGCAGCAGCATCTCCTGACTTGGTTGAAGACAGATTTATAGAACCAGAAGAGTCCATGACTGTGTAAGAGGACAAAAGAGCTGGCGTGTGACAGGAAAATGTTGGATCAGAGAAGGATGGGATGTCTGATTGGCTGGGGACAGGCGAGGAGGATGCTGGGTCTGTTCCTGAACTGAACCTATTGAAGAACTGGTTCTGTCCAGGCTGCCATCTGTGCAATCCTTCCTGTGCTTGAAGCCTGTTATCTTCTTAATCCCTGACCAGACATCTCTGATATTGTTCCTCTGTAGTTTGTTTTCCAGCTTCTTTCCAACAGCTTCTTCCTATATGCCTCCTTGCTGTCTCTGATCTTGATCTTCAGTTGCTTTTGTATACTCCTCAATAATTCTCCGTCTCCCTCCTTGAAGGCTCTTTTGTTCTCATTTAGCAGGTTCTTCAGTTCACTGGTGATCCAGGGTTTGTTATTAGCGAAGCATCTCACTGTTCTGGTGGGTATGATGTTGTCCACATAGAAGTTTATATAGTCAGTGACACATCCAGTCATGGCATTGATGTCCTCTTCATTTCCTTGGCAGAGAGTCATCCAATCTGTGGTCTCAAAACAACCCTGTAGGGCTTATTCAGCATCCTGTGACCATTTTCTCAAAGTTCTTCTTGTCACAGGTTGCCTCTGAACAAGTGGTTTGTATTCTGAGCAGAGAAAAACAAGATTGTGATCTGATTGTCCCAGAGGAGGTCTTGTTTTGGACATGTATGCATTCTTTACATTTGCATAACACAAATCCAATGTCTTGTTTTCTCTGGTGGAGCAGATGACAAACTGTTGAAATGTTGGAAGTGTAGCAGATGCAGACGCATGATTAAAATCACCAGATACAGCCACAAATGCATTGGGGTGCTGGGTTTTTAGCTTAGCGACAATGGAACTGATGGCATCACATGCACTTTCAGCAATGGCTGAAGGTGGAATATAAACGGTTGCCAAGACAACACTGGTGAACTCTCTTGGCAAATAATATGGGTGACAACTTACTGCCAAGAGTTCAACATCTGGGCTGCAGAGACGACATTTCACTGAAACATGACCTGGATGGCACGATCTGTTGTTGACAAGCACTGCCACTCCACCTCCGTTTCTTTTCCCGCTCCTCTGCAGATCTCTGTCTGCTCGTACAGTCAGGAATCCTGGTGGAGAGATGCTGGAATCGGGGATATGGTCCTGCAGCCACGTTTCAGTGACACACATAACACTGCACTGCCGAAACTCTGGCTGAGTCCTTGAAAGGGCTTGGAGTTCATCCATCTTATTGGCCAGTGATCTCACATTGCCCATTATGATTGATGGAAGAGATGGTTTGAATTTCCTCTTTCTCTGTTTTGCTCCCGCTCTGCACCCACGCTTCTTGCGTTTTAGCTCATTTGGGATTTGTGGCTTCAGATGAGGTATTATTTCAGCCTTTCCAATGTAAATCAGCTGCTCCCGATTGCAAACCAGCTTGTTGCCATGGTTATGCATCATAACAAATGCTCAAAAAATGAAAAAAGAGCAGTAAAAATCCTCCAAGCTTCACAGCACCAGAAACAGAAAAGTAAAATGTCCAGAAAAATACAGTTTTTCTTGAGAAACTAGAAGAAAAAATGTCCAAGAAAAGGCAAAACTTACATATAGTCAACAGAGCTACTCCAACATGCAGCCACCCAGAGCAGCTCAGTTCCGGAATGATATCATGATATCACATGATAAAGCCTTTTATACATACCACATATCGGTATCGGTTAACACTGAAGGCTGCAATATCGGTATCGCATCGGAAGTGAAAAAAGTTGTATCGGGACATCTCTATCAATAAGTCTTTCATATATTTTATAATAAATCTGATATTTTAAGATGCTTACTGGATGTGTTCAGTAATCGTCCGCCGTCGTAGATCAGCTGCTGTGCAGCAGCCGCTCTGTTATGGGGGCCAGAGAAGCTAACGGGGGTGGGGTGGCTGACCATGCAGTGGGAGGTCTGTGCAGGGCTGATGATGGAGCTCGTTTCAGAAACGGATGAGCAGACGACACTGCTAGTGGTCGCTACAGTCAGGACGCGCTGCCTCGCCATGTTGGCAACTCCAATCCGTGAACGTACTGCAGGAAAAAGAGGCTGGTAAATTCCCTCTTTAATGACTGAACATCAGACCTTTCTAAACTTGATTTTTAAAGTGTCACGCTTTCATCATGCTGTAAATCAGCCAAAACAGGCTCATGATAGATATGTAGACGGTGTATAAATGCATCATCCTGACAGATCTTACAGCTACTATTATAGACTTTTCACTCTACAATGAACCAAATACAAAATATTTAATAAAAGTAGTGTGTTAAATGACGTGCAAAAAAAAAAAAAAGCATTCATATCAAATAGGGACATTCTTAAAGGGCACTTACGTCTCTGACTCTTTGATATTGATGGAGAATTCTGTAAAGACCTAAAATAAACAAACAAAACGAAAGAATATTAAATCCTAAACAGATTTCATTCAGTTTCATTGCAAAGACCCTTGAACTTCACAGCCGTTACTTGATCTGGTTGAGGGTGAAATCAAGTTTTTTCCACAATGAGGTCATCACGAGGGGAACTTCATGACCAGACTCTGTTATAGAGATCAAAATAAGAGTCATCAGAATCAGTACCAACAGCAGCACAACAATAAGGGTCTGCACACGTTTACCTTTAGCTCTGACAGCCACATACTCATTTAAAAGAGTTGTCAGGTTCTTCCCAAAGAGAGACTGCAGGTGTAAACGCAGAGCAGGTCAGTAAGTGCACCGAGTCAGCTGTTAGACGGACTAAAAGTGAAGGTTCCCACTCACAAACACACAGGCAGGAACTGTCCCATCTCCCGAGGAGTGTTCAGCATACTCTTTCAAATTTGGGCTCTCGTGAATGAAAGCTCGGCTTGTAGCAGAAAGACCCTCTTCTTGGAGGTATCCTGAGAACAAACATCAACAGATTATCGCTCAAACTGTAAAATAAAAGTCACATACAGGAAAAATGTCACCAAACGGACTAAATCAAAGCCACTTCTCCTGTAGCTGTCCTACAGCTACAGCTTCGCTACTCACCCAAAACAAGCCGAGCAACGTCGGAAGGGAGCAACATAATGACCGTTAAGGGTAAATAAAACAAAGCGAAGTGTTAAACATTAACTACATTTTACAATAAAAGCCCTAAAAACTTTGTATAGCACAAAATTATCGTATTAATGCGAAGACGACGTCCTGTTACAGCTTTACGTAAAGGCGGGGAACTCAGTAACACATAACCCGGAAGATCTAACACAAACACCCAACCAGGTTTATGGGAAATGTAGTCCAACTGAAAACGTTCCACCTCAAAACATTTATAGAAAAGCCCCATATACGCACAAACTTGGCAAGTAAACACAAATGCAATAGTTATAACTGTAAAAGTTGCAAAGTTTAAATAACAAACTAAGTAAGCGCAGTTTTGAGGATGAAAGAAAGTGAAAAAACTCACAAGGCGCGTGTCATGACCCGGAAGTCAAGTTTCGTTTTTAGGAACGACGCAAGGGCGGGAATATCCTGCGTGAGCTGCGTGATTGTGGATGGCACGGCGTCAGGATGGTGAAGTTGTTGTTGTTGAGATGAGCGGCCCAGTAAGATGTTAGCTAACAGCTTCCGGACCACAACCAGTGCAGCCCCAGGTAAGTAAACACTCAGATGGGTGTTTGTGAAGGAGTTTCAGGAAGTTGTGCGGCTGGGGTCGATCGTCTGCGTGACTTGAACTTCATTCAGTGTTTTTATGAGACAAGGAAGTACACGTGTGGCTGCTACTCAAGCGCTAGAAGTTTTTATTTTATTTTAATATCACCCTTTCCTTTCCCGCATCAGACTCTGACTAACGATTCAAATTAACAGACAGGAAGTTATAGAGATAGTTATTAACGAGTATGCATTAAGTATGAACTTGTAGACGTTTTATTACTTATTTGTGAGTCAAAGACATTAATGAGAGAGTGAGGGTTAGCTGTTTTTTCACCAGTCTGTTGACACAAGTAAACGCTGCTTTAGCTCTGATCACACTTTTGGGGCTGCAGCAGGAACACACTCGTGCATGCTGAGGGTGTGGTCTGATAGCTGTGCATTTGCACATCAAAGATCTAATGCTGCATCCTGCTGTCCCTGCAGTCCCCACCAGTAAGCTGTGAAGCACAATGAGTCTTGTTCTGAATGACCTGCTGGTCTGCTGCAGAGGGCTGGAGAATGACAAGGCCACCGAGAGGAAGGTAAACAAACACTGAAGTTACATTTATTCTGACGTGTTGGCCATGTAAAAAATCTCTGCCTCATCCTGGGCCCACAGAAAGAAGCTGAATGCTTCCGGCGGCTCATCCGAGCTCCAGAGACCATGCAGGAATTGGATCGCACCTCAGCGACTAAAGCTAAAGGCTCCCAGCAACTCACATGGGATGCTGTGTTCAGGTATCCTCCCTTTTCCATTTCACTTTCATTTTTGTACTAACTGTTTCACTCCTTCTTCTACCAGGGCAATTTGCTGAATTAAACAACTTCCTGTTTCTCAGGTTCTTGCAGCGTTACCTCCAGAAGGAGACTGAGGTCATGCAGTCAAGTAAATCTAAAGTCACACAGACTACGCTGGCCACACGGCAGAAGAAGATGAATGAAATGTGCAGCTTGATGAAGTATTTCATTTGCTCTGCAAACAAACGTAAGGAAGCAGCATTTTAGCAGCTCCATCAGAAGACCATGAAGGTTCAACAGTGGTGACTGTAACTTCAGAGTCGCTCTTCCTTCCTGCAGGTGGACCTCGTCTGAAATGCAGCGAGCTGCTGAAACACGTGATGGAGGTGCTGCAGAGCCCTTACTGCTGCTCAGCCTATGGAAAAAATTACAGCAGCCTCCTTCTGAAGAATGTCCTCTCTGTTCGCAAGTACTGGTGTGACATCACCCCGCAGCAGTGGCAGAGTCAGTGGGTTACTGGTTTAGAGACATATATGGTCAGATTATTATTCTGGGATTATCTGTTCAGACAAAGTTAAACAATGGAGAAAATCAAAATTAATTTTAAAAAGTTTGGTAAACAGGTATCGATCAGTTAAATATGAGAAGTAAAAAAGGCGTTTTATTATTACATTACTAAATAAAACACTAATGCTCTGTTTTTAAACTAAACTTGTCTCTTTTTTTACCCAAAGGTCTTCTGGACTTGTTCTGCAGCCTGTTCAACTCTTCATCCAGATCCATCAACCGGGTCCTTCTGAGCAGAGTCATCCACACGGTGGTGAAGGGCTGCTGCTCCCAGACGGATGGAGGCAACCACACGTTGTTCAGCTTCTTCTCCAAAGCTCTGCTCAACGTCAGGTGAACCTTCTGTCATCTATTTATGATGAACCGTTCGTCTTTCATGAAGTAGATTGAGAGAATCTGAGAGAAGATCATCAGGGGGTCTTTTGTTCCCTCCTCGGGGGGAAACTCCCACTGGGTTTAAATCTGGGACTCTTCACCATTTGACCTTAGAACTGAAGAAACCTCTCGGATGAGAGGTGAAACGTCTTCAAGCAACTCAAAGAAGTCCAGACGCTTTTCTTTCAAAGCTCCTTAGACTGGATTGAGAGAAACCTCTTTTTTCTGTTAAACCCAGGCAGGAGAAACACCTGCCTGTTTTGGAGCACCTCGTCTCGGCTCTGAACATCTTCTCGAGGTCCGCCGCCATGAACGGCCGGATGCGAGTGTGTCACCTTGGAGAGGAGCTTCTGCCGCCTCTGCTCTACGTGTGGGCCGACACGAGGCCCAGTGCGCCCCTCAAAGAGGAGATCGTGGAGTTCTTCAACCTGCAGCTGTGTGTGCACCACCCCCGCGGAGCAAAGACTCAGGACTCAGGTGAGCTGGTGTTTGGTTTGCTTTCTGTGGTCGGAACGCTTACGCAGGAGTTGAGCAGCGTCGTCCTGGCTATGTAGGTGCTCACGCTGAGGACTGGACCAGGTGGAGGCAGCTGCTGTACAACTTGTACGATACTCTGGTCAGAGAGATTGGTCACATAGGCAGCAGAGGGAGGTACGTGACGGGCAGCAGGCACATCGCTGTCAAAGACAACCTGATTGAGCTCACGGCTGACATCTGCCACCAGGTGAGAAAGCTCTGATGTCACTTCTCCGCCCACATCAGCCTCATCTGTGCATAAACATGAAATCTCCCCGTAGAGATCAGAAAACCAGTGTTTTTTTATTTTATTTCTGGTGGTTTTCCTGTAGCTGTTCAGTGAGGACAGCGACTGCCAGATGTTGGAGGTCACCCAGGCCCCCCTCAGAGCCACGCACATGAGCAGTCCAACTCCTGGGTCAGCTAATAAGCGACGGCGTGTTGAAATGAGCTGGGCTGTCCTCAGAGACCACCTGCAGCCTCAGCACAGTGACTTTGATGTCATACCGTGGTATGAAAACACCATGGAAACGAAACTAAAACCACTTCTTGCACAGTAGCGGACAGGACTATTTGATGTGATTAATCTGCGTTCATTTCCTCCAGGCTGCAGATCACAGCGGTGCTCTCCTCCAAGTACCCGTCCACGCTTCCCAGTCGGGAGCTGGTCCCGTTGCTGTCGGGGCTGTATCAGCTGCTGGCGGAGCAGCGGAGAGGGGAGAGGGGTCTGTACGTGCTGCGCTGCCTGAAGGAAGTGGCTCACTGTCAGACTCGACACCCACAGACGGCGCAGGCCCACGGGGCCGAGCTGGCCAGGCTCTGGGTCCGGATCTGGGCTCTGGCGTTGCGCGGGGTCAGCTCGCCCCAGACCGAGGCCCTCAGCCTAGACCTGCTGGCCTCCATTGTTCACTGCGGGCTGATCGACATTGACAGAGAGTTCTGGAGACTCTTCTGTGCATCTGCGTGTAAACCGTCCCAGTGAGTCCTGATTAAAACCCTAATAGCCGACGTTTGGTTGCATCACTAATTTCTTTTGCTGTTTTGTGTTTTATTTTGGAGGAGTTCTGCTCTCTGCCTAGCACAGGCTGTCCTGAGGTGTCCAATCCCAAAGCGTCTCTCATCAGGCTCAAGCTGGGACAGCGTGGGAGGCGCTGATGGGTGCGTGAAGGAGACGCTCATAGCCTGGTTGCTGATGAGCGACCAGAACGAGGAGACTGAGGAGAGCTGCAGACCTCACCCCATCATCTGCAGGTTCTTACTCCTGATTCAGGATCTTCTTACTGAATGAGGTGAACTGACTTTTACAGTCACTGTTCTCGTTCACAGAGACTTTTCTCACAACCTGATATCGAACATCTTGGTCTCACTGACCCTCAAAGACTCCAGGTTAGGTTTAAAGTTTCTGCTGGGTTCTGACGGAGCTCAGAGGTAAATAAAAACACCCGTCTTGCTTCACCTCGCGTTGTCGTCTTCCCACCCAAAATAACCGTCTACTCGTTTAGCTCCTCCTCTAAAGAACGGGTGTCCTCTGGTGCCAAAGAGGACCTGGAGGTGATTGAGAGACTCTATCACCAGTTTAGCTTCAGCGTGTCGCCATCAGAGACCAGAGAAGCTGAGGACGAGTTGGGGAAGACGACGTCGGCCAAGAACCGGTTCGCCATTGTTCCTGGCCTCTGGAACCAGCTGGAGCAGCTTCTGCTCGCTGTAGCGGATGGTCTGCTTAACTGCTACTCTCCTGATGTGAGTGAACACTGCTAATCGTCGTCCTCACAGGAAAAAAAAACGATTCTTAATTTGAACCTCCCCTTGTAGTCCGAGTCCAGCCCCCCACAGTGTCTGGTGCGCTGCTGCAGCCAGCTGACGGGTGTTCTGGCTGGTTACGTCTCCACCGGGGTCCTGAGCAAGGAGGAGGCCTGCTGCTCACAACTCTTCTCCAAAGCAAAGGTTCACCCACCAGAAGTCATCAGTCACAGGTGATCCGCCATATCCAGAGGAGGCTCGTGTGACCGCTGATATTCTGGGGTGTTCGTGTTTCCAGGCCTTGGCCCAGGACCTCAGCGGATTTGTCTCCAGCATCAAAGTGAAGATGAGCGAGGAGAGGATCATGTCCACAATGAGATCGGTTATGAAGCTTTGCAGACAGAATAGCAGCAGGAAACTCAAGGTAAAAAAACCCGTTAAGATGAGTCGTGGTTTAACAGTTCAGCTGACTGAATACGTGGATCTCTGCTAACAGGACGGCGTCGGTTCCATCTCCTCCGGTTTGTTTATTTTGACCCTGCCCGCCAGCCTCCTGGGTGAGCTGGCAGAAATCTGCAAACTGCTGGTGAGTCTCGTCTACACTGGCTTCACGATGCTGCGTGGATGCGTGACGAATACAAAAACAACCTTTTTTTATCTTGCACATTTAAGTTGAGCAGCGCTCCGAGGAAAGTCAGCTCTGTCGATGACGACGAGCACATGGACGATGACTGGGAAACGAGCAGAGCCGAGCCCTCTGGGAGCGACTTTGACCTGTTTGATGATGGTGAGGACTCCCACAGCAGCACCAACGGGACCCACAGACCCCAGGGAGACGGCACCGACACCTCATGTGGCCCAGGTGACGGGAACACAGAAACACACCTGGTTCATTTGTTTCTAAAGCTTGTGTGGCCGATCACCTGCTGATTCCAAAAGCTGTGGAGAATCTCCTTAAACTACGTTTAAAACGTAAAGACCTTTTCCTGTGGGTTTTAACAGCATTTCACGAGTTTATTCCTCTCACTAATTGTGTTCTTTATTCTCTGGGGTTTATCCCTGTTTTCATTCATGCATTTGTTAGATTTACTGGTGAAGTTGTGCCGTGCAGCACTCTGGATGTGTTCAACATGCTTTCTGTTGCTCCCTGAACACACCAGGTGCTAAGAGCCTGCTAGCGGAGGAGTTTCTGGCCCAGCAGGACCTGGCTTTGCTCGCAGCCCTGGAGTTCCTGTGTGAGTGTGGTTCTGCTCGGCCCGTCCATGGCCTGCTGTTTAAACCGCAGGAGGTGCGCCGCAGGCTGCTGCTGCTGCTGGAGCAGATAGACTTCAGCAAAGCCCTGCACCTCCACATGGTGAGTAGCAACCAGCCTGGAGTTGAAGGTCACAGGTTAACTGCAGGCGCTAACGTATCACCGTCCCGTAGTATCTCGTCCTGCTGAAGGAGCTTCCTGCTGAGGATTCGTTGTCTCCAGAGGAATTTGACTCACTGCTCCGTCCTCTGGCGTAAGGAGACGTTCCTGCTGTCCACGCTAGTGTCCTAGAATCGAAAAAGGATGTTTTTGATAGATAATTTGATGTATTTGTGGCTTTGCTTGCAGGGACATGTGTTCGATGTATCGTCAAGACCAGGAGGTGTGTGCTGCCATCCTGCTCGGTTTGTTACCTTCCATAAAGAGTCTGGGGAGGACACGTCACACGCCCGAGGACATGAGACACGTTCAGGGATCTGTTCTTCAAGTCGTCTCTGGCTTCTGGTCTGAGGATGTGTTTTTTTTATTTTACACCTTTTTCAAAAATATAGTTTTACATATGAATAAAAAAATTAATATATATAAAAATATATAAATATTATAGATATTTAATATATGTATATATAAATATGTGTATGTATGTGTATATATATATATATATATATTTATGTATATATTTATATATATGTGTGTGTGTGTGTGTGTGTATGTGTATATATATATATATATATATGTATAAAAATATATATATTTTCATTTTATTGATATAATAATTATTTTATTTTTATGTTTTTACAAATTATGTAATTACATATTTACTATTCCAATATTTAATTACAAATATTTAAGTTACTCCCCTGCGAGTGAGTGAGTGAGTATTTCTGAGCTCTTCCACTCGATAACTTTTTTTGTTTCAGCCTCCTGAGCCAGTCGGGGAAATGCGTGGCCCTGGTGAGAGCTGCTTTAGTCCAGTGTCTGGTTGCTTTGCTGGAGGTAAACTCACTTTACTTTGCTTCTAATTATTCCATCATCACAGAAAAAAAACTCAAAACAAAAATCCTAAAAGACTAGAGAGACTGATTGAGGCCTACATGGTAAGATGAGTTCCTTCACGGCTTTGTCGTGCTCAGGCTGACCCGTGCTGCAGCTGGGCCATCCTGACTCTCGGAGACGACCCCGTGTCTTCTGCTCTTCCATCCCACCTGGCAGACGCCCACCACCGAGTCCGTATGCTGGTGGCCGTGTCGCTGGAGAGGTGGGTTCAGCCAGTTCTTTTTTATTGTTCTAGTTTTCTTACATTAACACTCGTGTACCCGTCCTCCTCTATATTCAGACTGTTTCTGGATATGAGACGGAAGGATAAGAAGACGATGCTGCCACTAAAACTCCAACAAGCAGCGTTTGAGAACATTTATCTGAAGGCTCAGGAGGGCATGAAGTTCCCGGTAGGGTCCAGCGGATCATGTTGCAACTTCCTGGTCCTTTTATACTCCCTGATGCATTCTGTCCGCGTGTGTCTGGTGCGGTTTTACAGAGAAGCAGCTCATCGGAGGACCAGCGGGATGAAACGTTCAACCGCGAAGCCGCCCTGCTGAAGAGTTTATCTGTTGTTCTGTGCTGTAGCCCAGTGTGTGAAAAACAGAGTCTGTTTGCGCTCTTCCAGTCCTATAAGGAGAACAACATTGAGGAAGAGCTCATCAAAAAGGTAGAAAGTCACGTTTTCACATAGAAATTGTCAGAATAGTCAATTAAAATCTTCACTTTTCCTTTTTCCTGATAAAATATTCAGGTATCAATGCCATGGAAGAGGTTAATTGTGTTTGTGCTTCTCTGATTTTTGCAGATGTTGAGCAGTGTGTCCAAAGTTCTGGGCTACAAGAGCGTAAAGGCATTCATCAGCTCTCACCTGTTCTACCTGGTGGCTGAGTGGCTCGCACAGAGACAGTCAGACGACCGCTACACTCTGGGATCGTTCCCCTACAGTCTGCTGGACCATCACTCGGTCAAAGATTTCTACAGGTCATTTATTATTCTAGCATTTTTGTTCAGTTTTTGTCTGATGGGACAGCAGCAGCTCAGGAGGTAGAGCGGGTTGTCCAGTAATCGGAAGGTTGCAGGTTAGATCCCGGCTCCGACCAGAGAATGCTGCTGTTGTGTCCTTGGGCAAGACACTTAACCTGTCTTGTCTGCTGGTGGTGGTCGGAGGGACTGGTGGTGCCAGTGTTTGGCAGCATCGCCTCTGTCAGTGCGCCCCGGGGCAGCTGTGGCTACATCGTAGCTCATTCCCACCAGTGTGTGTGTGTGTGTGTGTGTGTGTGTGTGTGTGTGTGTGTGTGTGTGTGTGTGTGTGTGTGTGTGTGTGTGTGTGTGTGTGTGTGTGTGTGTGTGTGTGTGTGTGTGTGTGTGTGTGTGTGTGTGTGTGTGTGTGTGTGTGTGTGTGTGTGTGAATTGGTGAATGACTGATTGTGCTGTGAAGCGCCTTGGGGGGGGTTGGACAACCCTAAGAAATCACTATATAAATACAGACCATTTACAATTTATGTTTGAATTTTTCAGTCAGTATTATTATTAGCATTATTGTATTCATATTTATCCGTTATAATTTACAACATATATTCTGTATATGTATGTAGTTAAATTGTTCTCTTTTTATTAGTTAGTTATTTTTTTATTATTGGTTTTTATTATCTTATTTGTGTGTATACATCAGAATTTTATTTATTTATATGTTTTTATATCTTTTTATTTGTTGTTTTGATCTATTTTCATAAAATAAACATGTTTACAAATATGAAAAGATTTATAGTTGTTAACATATTTTGTTTATTTTTATATTTTGTTATTATTGTTTTTATTATTTGAATACATACATTTATGTTATATATTTATTTTTGTCATAATGTTCTTCATATCTATAGACTACTTCTATTGTGTTTTATTTAACTTTTCATTTATTTATCAACAATCAAAGATGTCTACAAGTCATTTTGTACAATAGAATAGAATAGACAAGACTTTATTAATCCCACGGTGGGGAAGTTCACTCCTTACAGCAGCAAATACACTTAGAGAAAAGGAATAAGAACAATAATACACACATTTTCCTATATTTCTGGTAAGAATGTTAGGAATACAAGAAGACCTGAAAACCCCTCTGTTCTGGATCCTTTTAGCTCCTCCTACCAGGTGCTGATCCCACACCTGGTCTTCCTGGACGACTTTGAGCAGGTGAAGTCCATCGGCAGGTGCCTGGAGAAGGACTGGAAGCTCTTACTGGCGGACTGCTTCCCTAAAATCATGGTCAACATCCTGCCGTACTTTGCGCTGCCGGGTCAGAACTCTGAAGTAGCGCAGCAGAGAGAGAAGGCCCACCGCGTGTACGACCTCCTGAAAGACAGCAGCTGTCTGGGCAAACAGGTAAAGGCCACCTGCAGCACACTCTGACCTCACAACTATTGGGTTTGTGTCGGAACTTCACATTCTGAGTTTGTGGACTGTGTGTGGCTCAAATAATAAGGAAAACTGTATAATTTGTGTCTTGAGGGATTCCTAATACTTGTTTTATTATAAGAGCTAATTATCCCAGCATGTGACTATTTCTCCTGGCAGGGGCGCAGATAGGATTTTCAAACTGGGGGGGGACAAAGTTCCAGTGTACCCTCCCCCACACACACACACACACACACACACACACACACGCACGTACACGTACACGCACGTACACGTACACATACACAAACTATTGCAAGCGCCTTAACTAGAGCTCAGTCAGTTTGTGTAATTTCCTCCAACGGTTTACGTAAAAACTAACTTTTATATACGTGTTTGAAGCCATTGTGCAGTGGAACGCTGGCAACAAAGCTCTGCCTGATCAACACTATGAATGATCAATGATCCGCACTTGTATAGCGCCTCTCAGAGTAAGGACTCCAAAGTGCTTTACACTACAGTGTATCATTCATCCATTCACACACACATTCACACACTGATGGTGATGAGCTACGATGTAGCCACAGCTGCCCTGGGGCGCACTGACAGAGGCGCTCCACTATTTAATTCAGTCATTTGTTATTCTTCCAATCAAGTACTAACCAAAACCTCATGCTTTATGCAAAACATTAAATTATTTTCAGCATACCAATCTTTACAGAAAACATAAAAGCCCTAAAAAACTGCACATAAAATATATTTAAAAAACAAAATTCACTTATCACTTAGAGCAGTAGTTCCCTAACTTTTCAGCCTGACCAACAGATGTTCCTTCGTATTTTTACGTTGTTTATAAATTTTCATTATATTTGGAAAGGTTTTATTTATATATAAATATATAAATCTCTTTTAAAATTTTATGTTTTACTTTTTTATGATTATGTGGCACACTTGACTTCCACACATAACGCATCAGCATCTGCCCCTTTTTACGGCATTTCTTTCACATCATCGCTACGTCTGTCACGTTTGCGGTGTTTTTACCATCATTTCTACATCCATCACGTCCCAGAGAAGGTTAAACAAACATCAAACCCAACATTTGGAGCTTGTAAACTCCACACACCTCTCGTGCAGCACCAGCTGTCTGATGCTGCAGCAGCGTCAATCTTCCCGGCTGGATGAGTGAATTTCTTCATCAGAGTCAATATTCTGCTTCATAATCAGAGTCAGTCATTACCAGACAAAGTGATCAGTCAACAAAGACCAGACCTGCCGGCAATTATATGTTTTATCTCATATTTGCGCTCTTCATGTTGTGCGCATCTCCTCCTCTCCCCGACTGGGAGCCTCTAGGCGGGAGGCGATTTTCAAACTCTAAAAACTCCCAAACTTTGCTCAGTCTGAATGTTACACATCTCCACTATCTTCTGGTGTAAAGTAGTAACTTCATGAGGGATCATATTTGTAGATGAGACTTGTTAAAGTCAGCAATGAGGCTTTGGCACTTATAACGATTAAGTCCCAACACTGACAACAACGTACTGAAACTAGAACCAACATGCATAAACAGACAGATCGGTCCCGCCTACTTACATTGTTGGTCTTTTTTAAATACGCAGTAATCATTGCTTGCCTCTTTCGCTTCATCCTGCATCCTAGCAGCAACCACTTTGGTGCCTCTGGAGTCTGTGTTTGTTTACGTCATGCTGCATTCAGTGTAATTGGAAAAAGGAGCTTCAAGCACTTAACCTCCGATTTTGTTTTCTTTCTGGCCTTAGTTGGGGGGATGGATCTGAATCTTGGGGGGGACAGATCCCCCCCGTCCCCCACCATATCTGCGCGCCTGTCTTCTGGTGCTCTTAATTAAAGAAAGTGTAATAGCTTAAATTTGGATTTCATTTTGGTAATTTGTCGTATTTAACCTTCAGAGTCCTGAGTACGTCATTCCTCTAAATATTTAGGATTAGTTGGACCTCATTGACAAAAAAACTGGATTTACTAATTATTTCCCAGACATCCTGATTAAAACCCAGTGTGACCCTACAGCATATCGATGACCTGATCTGCAATAATCTGGCCGACATCGTAGTGGAGCTGCTGATGACGCTGTATGAGGGAGACGGAGGAGACCTGAAACGGTTCATTGGGTAGCGGCATTAGTTGACTTCTGATGTCTTATTTAAATGATTATTTAGGTTTATCTGTTTGTTAACTACATGATGAATGCCCTTGTCTCCCAGGGAGTTGGATCCTGTTCCCAATCCTCCGTACTTCAGTTCTCATGTCATCAGATCTACTCTGGATTTCATCAGCAAGTGTCACAGCACCAACCACAAGTCTCTGGTTTCTGTTCTGTCAAAGACCCCGGTACAGTTTCTTATCCTCCTACCAACTCTCCTTCTGTTGCTTTTGCCATCCTTTTCCTGACTTTTTCTTTGTGTTCCACCTGTAGATTTCCATCCAGAGGATCCTACTGGCCGTGTGCCAAAAGGCGTCGGAGACGACCAACAGCTATGAGCGCCACCGCATTCTCCTCATGTACCACCTGTTTGTCAGCCTGCTGCTCAGGGAGGTAAAGGACGGTCTGGGCGGAGCCTGGGCCTTCGTCCTCAGAGATGTTGTCTACACCCTAGTTCATCACATCAGCAACAGGTGGGTGAACCGATGGGTATGTTTTAGATGTCACCAGGAATGTACGAAAATATCGATACAGTAAAATATCGCAATATTTTGTGTTACGATAGTAAATCTAATTTAAAAGCAGAGTATTGATTTTTTAAAATGTTTTATGTACAGGCAAACATTTACTGTACGTTCTTGTTTGGTGCAACTCACACTTCGACTGCTAGGTGGTGGCAGTTTTTACCCGTCATTCTGACAGAACAAGATCTTGTGATCACAATGGAAGCGTCGGACTTGAGTTTTCAGATTAAAATCAATCTAAAACGTTGCAAATAATGTCTGGCTTTAATTTTCGCAATATATCGCCTATCGTGTCGTGACGTATATCCCATCGTTACAAATATCGTATCTTGATACACATCGCACTACAACACATCACATCGTGACACATATCTAGAGCTGTAACGAAGCGTCAATGACGTCAACGACTCCATTCTAAAAATTTGTCGATGTCAGATATGGTAGTCGACGCACCACGCCCACTTGTTTCATCCCCAGGAGTTTGTAAAGAGAGGGGGAATCTGCCTGTTTTCCCTCTAGTTCACTCTCTTCTCCGCCTTCACTAACATCTCCACCAAATACCGAAGACCCGGAACAATGTCCGTCCACTACTAGATTCCTTTCCTGTTTTGCCCGCCTTCGTCCCCCGGCAACGGACAACAACTTCCGGGGTCAAATGCGCTGCTTCGTCGAAAATCACCGGGAGTGTTTCTCCCTTCATAAAGGAGCTTCTTTCAGACATTAGGAGAGCTGTTTTTGTGGTAGCAGTCTCTCCTCCGTGCTGGTCTGTTTGCTGCTGGGTGTTTTTGGTTCATTTAAACTTGGTAACTTGAACTTAACGTTGGCCTGTTTGAATTAACGTGCTCTATTAGAAACATTCAAACCATTTTTAAAAGAGAAGTTGAGCTTTCAAGTCAACTAAAGTGCGCGACTCCACACTCAAACGTAAACCAAGCTTAAGAAATCAGCCTGAACCTGCACCGATGTGGGAGGACTCTCCCCCCCCCCCACTCAACTACGTTCTCTCTCTCTCTCTCTCTCTCTCTCTCTCTCTCTCTCTCTCTCTCTCTTTCCCTCTCTTTCTCTCTCTCTCTCTCTCTCTCTCTCTCTCTCTTCCCTCGCTCACCTACGGTGCCATTATTGTCGGCTCTAGCAGCGCTGTGTGTGGAAAAATAAAACGGAAAATAACCTGCAACTCTGTACGGCTGTGGAATTGGGCTCGGCTCTGGGGTCTCATTTATCAAACATCGCGTAGAATCCTTACTAAAACCGTACTTAAGCTCATCAAAAAAATGTACTTAAACCAAGTAGGTTTGTGATCTATCAAACATGGAGTACGCACAGCTGCACGCAATCTCCACTTCATAAATCAGAGACCAACGAGACAGGTTCTCAGCTGCTTTTTAGTCACATCCCGCCCTCACCTCGCCCACTTACTGCCATAAATGGTCAATGCAAAGTGCCTTGTGGATCTCATGCATATACATAAGCCGGCTGTTGCAGCGCTCCACCAATGACGATGGCGACCGTAGATCAAGGCAGATCAAGGAAGCGCTATTTCACTGAAGCAGAAACTGAGGTACTTGAGGGTGAGGTGGAGAAATGAAAGGAAGAGCTTTTGCAAAACAAACGAGAAAATCCATGGAGTGGCACAGCGTTGCTGAAGCCATCAATGTTGTGAATTCTTCAGAGGGATCTGTGGTGGATATAAAAAATGATCTAATCGGGATTCGATCTCCAGACTCCCGGGTGAAAGTCATGCGCGCTAACCAGTCAGTCAAACAGAGATCTCCCTTGTCCAAGTAGCCAGGGCGCATGATCAATCGGGTCACAGTGACAGGACACACACACTGTCACAGACGCATGACATTCTGTCTCAATATGTCCCCCTGCTGATAATCTGCATTCTATATTCTGCGCTTCAGGCTGTGTGTGCGCGCGCGTGTGTGAGAGTGTGCGCATATGTGTGCGTGTGGGGGGTCTTGTTCTGTGTGCGCACAAAGCAGTACAAGTGATAATGCTGTTGCAATTCATAGCTCTATCCTTCTCAGCAGCAGCACTGCAGGTGCTCTCCATGTCCCACATGTGCGTAAGCCAGGTCCTTAGTCAACTTAAAGTTGCGCACATTTTTCCACTAAGTTTTCTTTCATGAATTCCAACGTTTGCGTGGAAAGTTGCTTACGCAGTTTTCCAACCCCGTTTTGTGCGTAAGCAAGCTTGATAAATGAGGCCCCTGGACTGTATACCCCACCCCCTCCCCTGTGCTGGTTGTTGCCGCCACCGTAACACAGATCCTGGATCAGTTAAAATCCCAAAAACCGCAGCTTTGACGGTCACGTGATCGTGCTGTTTGACATCATGATTTCGGAGCAAAAACGATAGATCGTTCAGCCCTAGTGTAGATCTCCCTTTTATTACATTTGGAGTGTTGTGGTTTAGTTTAAAGTATCACCTTGAGTTTGGTTTAACCACCCAGTTTAGAGTTTGGAACTTTGGAGATCCTTATTTTGGTCCAGAACCCTGTAATCTTTGCCCAGTGGGACATCCCTACTTATTTGTACTTTTCTTTTAATTCCCCACAGGCAGAATTAGTTTTATTATTCCCAACCTGTGGATGGAAAGATTTGTTTTTTTGTAGTTGTAAATAAACCTGATCATCATTTTAACTTTTAAATCCCACGTTATTGTACCTTCCTTTTTGCACACGAGCCAAACTCCCCAGGAAGGGTCGTAACACCACTCGCCTCACACACATAAGTGACCAAAACAAAGCGGCATGGAGACACTCCGTCTCCAACCACCTCTCAGGCAGCAGCCTGCACTCCCAAGTTCTACACGTCACCAGAACATAACCAACCGCAACACAATAAAAGCAGTGCTATACAAAATGGAAGGCCTGTAGTGTTTATTCTCTTACAGTAACAATTTATCAATTTTTTTGAGGAATTTATTTGAGATATTCTGGTTTTTATTAACTGTGCAATAGAAAAATAATCATTAGATTAATTGTCTAAATAGTCATTAGAATAGTCGACTATTCGATAAAATAATCGTCAGAATAATCGTTTTAAAAATAATTGTTTATCCCCAGCCCTGCATATCTCGCATCATGACATATATCGCATCGTGACCTATATCGCATTGTGACATATATCGCATCGTGACATATATCGCATCGTGACATATATCGCATCGTGACATATCGCATTGTGACATATATCGCTTCGTGACATATCGCTTCGTGACATATATCGCATCGTGACATATATCGCATCGTGACATATCGCATTGTGACATATATCGCTTCGTGACATATCGCTTCGTGACATATATCGCATCGTGACATATATCGCATCGTGACATATATCGCATCGTGACATATATCGCATCGTGACATATCGCATTGTGACATATATCGCATCGTGACATATATCGCATCGTGACATATATCGCATCATGACATATTGTGACATATATCGCTTCATGACATATATCGCATCGTGACATATATCGCTTTGTGACATATATCGCATTGTGACATATATCGCTTCATGACATATATCGCATCGTGACATATATCGCTTTGTGACATATATCGCATCGTGACATATATCGCTTCGTGACATATCGCATCGTGACATATATCGCATCGTGACATATATCGCATCGTGACATATATCGCATCGTGACATATATCGCATCGTGACATATATTGCATCGTAACATATATCGCATCGTGACATATATTGCATCATGACATATATTGCATCGTGACCTATATCGCATCGTGACCTATATCGCATCGTGACATATATCGCATCGTGACCTATATCGCATCGTGACATATATCGCATCGTGACATATATCGCATCGTGACATATATCGCATCGTGACATATATCGCATCGTGACATATATCGCATCGTGACATATATCGCATCGTGACATATATTGCATCGTAACATATATCGCATCGTGACATATATTGCATCATGACATATATTGCATCGTGACCTATATCGCATCGTGACCTATATCGCTTCGTGACATATATCGCATCGTGACATATATCGCATTGTGACATATATTGCTTTGTGACATATATCGCATCGTGACATATATCGCATCGTGACATATATCGCATCGTGACATATATCGCATCGTGACAGATATTGCTTCGTGACATATATCGCATCATCACATATATCGCATCATGACATATCGTGACATATATCGCATCATGACATATCGTGACATATATCGCATTGTGACATATATTGCATCAAGATAAATGTTGTATTGTGAGATTCTTGCCACCAGAGATATAAAACCTACGTTTCCTGTTCCTGCTTAGATCCCTTCAGTGTGATGAGGTGTCAAGCCGAAGCCTCTCTCTGTGCTGCGACCTGCTTTCGTCCGTTTGCCAGATAGCGCTTGAGTTCTGCGACGACGCTCTTGACTGCCACCTGCAGGTAATCGTGGGAACTCTTACCGCTCAGCTGACCAGCCAGTCATCCATCTCACAACAGGTAAGGGGCTGGACACATTTATTCTAGAAATAATGAAATGCTTTAACCATTTCCAAGCATTGAAGGCTCTCCTGGAGTAAATGTGAGTGAATTAAAATGTGCAGTTATCCTAAAGTACATTTATCATCTAGAACAAAAATGCATGCATGGATGTAAACGTAATTTTCTCCAAAGTGCACCTATAATTGCCTGAAATGTTTCTGATTATAAACAGACAAAGTTGTTCCTCTTTCCTCTAAATGTATTCATTTTTAATATCCTGAGGTTCTGAGTTTGCTGCAGTTTCTGGTAATGGAGAATCAGCAGAAGCTAAAAGGAGCCATCAGCAGGCTGGAGCCCTTTCCTGATCTTCCTGAGTTCAGAGAGCTGCGGACTGTGCAGCACAAACTCAAATACAGCAGCGGACGCTTTACTCTGACTCAGGTTAGCAGATGGTAACCCTCACTGCTGTCATTCAGGGACTTTGTCCAGGTGTCTTGTAACCATACCAGGAACTTGTTGCTCAAGGTTCATTGAGGTTTGCAGACCTCCTTTGATCCATGGTTCTTTGAAGGTCCCTTCAGAGGTCTTCATTCAGGTTGAGGTCTGGAGCTTCGTCATGCTCGCTGTGGATCTGCTGTTGTGTTTGGGATCAGTTTCGTGCCTGACTCGTCCACAGCTGTGTGTTTTGGTGCAGCTGAGGCACGGTAATTTTGTGGTCTGTTAAGATTGTTTTCCCACGTCTTTCTTGTTGCAGGAGATCCTGCACTTCCTGTCAGCGTCATCCTGCGGCTCTTTACGTCTGACCCGACTGGAGGGGTTAAAGGAGCTGACCCGACAGCTGCGTCACAACAAAGGACAGATTCAAGAGCTGCTCAGAGAGTGCCACGGTGGGATGCTGGAAAAGTGTTTCTGCATGAGTAAAATCACCTTCTGTGTTGTGTAACACTCACATCTTCTCTCTCTGGCCTCGTGTGCAGCTAACCCTGCTGACAGTGTGTTGGTGAAGCTGGTTCTCGCTCTGTTGCAACTCTGCAAGCTAGCTGCCAGTTATCCTGAAGGAGATGACATTTTAGGTACCGGATCTGCTCATTTCTTGACTTCCGATGAATTTTTATGTGATGTTTTTATTAAACAGACAGCTTTTGTCCTGCAGAGGCAGCAGGCAACTGTTTGGGAGAACTGGGCCCAGTGGACTTCTCCACCATCGCCCTCCTCCACGGCAGGGACCCGCTCTACGAGAAGGCCGTGGCTCTTTTCACCTCCACTGAGTCACAGCAACTTTACATCATCCTGAACTGCATGAATGAGGCGCTCACGCAGCAGCGGTACCGTGGAAGCTGTGACTCTGGTTAAACGTTCTGCATTAAGTGTTTGGGTTTGATTGTTTTTGTCTGTTAGCATCGAGGTGAGGCGGGCAGCAGCTCAGTGTGTGAGGAACATCCTCGCCACGCAGTCTGGAGCTGATTTCTGGGACCAGCACAAAGACAACAGAGACCCCCTGCTGGTTTACCTCAATCCCTTTCGAACAGCCAAGAACAAGGTGGGTCGGGTTGAAACGGATTTCTTTGTTTGTGTTTTGGAGTTAAGAGTTGGTCTGTCTGGGTGACCAGGTGGCTGCTGTGGCTGCTCTGGAGAGCTCAGAAGCCAAGAAGAAGCTGGAGAGCCAGGAGTTCTGGTATCCCCAGGCAGGTAGACACCAGGCCTGGCTGAAGGCTCTGTGCACAGCTCTGCTGGACAGCGGGGGGGCCAAGAGTGAGGCTCTGCAGCTGTCCGGACCACTGTGTCAGGTGAGCGTGTGGACACGGTTACTCCCAAAACGGCTTCAGTCATCAAAACATCCGCCGGTTCGTTCGGTTTGTCTCCAGGTGACGGTGGACTGCTGCCAGAGGCTGCTGCCTCTCATCATCCACTCTGTCCTGCTGGAGGACCCCAGCGGGTCCTGGAGGGAGCTGCTGTCCTCCCACATCCGGGACTTCTTTAGTTTTTGTTCCAGAAGCGCTCAAACCACCAGTCGGTCCACCACACCTGCCAACTCTGACTCGGGTAGGTTTACAAACAAAAGAAAAAAGAAAAAGCTGATTTTTATTAATTAATTAATTTTTCCAGCAGAGTCTGACTCAGCCTGCCAGAGCTTGTGTGACAAGGCGTCTCTGCGCACCATGCTCGCTGTGATCGACTATCTGAGACACCAGCAGCGACCGCTGGAGGCTGATAGGTTTGTGGGTGTTCTGATTCTTTTTTTAACCTGTAGAAAGCTCAGCTAGAACTTCCTCCAACGTCACTTCAAACTTGAGATTTTTTCGCCCATCAGACCTTAAACGCGACTGCCTCATACATAAAGAACTGTTGTAGCTGCTCTGTTTTAGTTTGCATGGATTACTGTACCACCTCTATGGGTGAAGGTCCTGCAGCTGTGTTTGAAAGCACCATAGAATATATCTGTTAACATGATGGTCCAGGAGGACTTCCCATTCCGCCGCGTTCTTGTTGTAGTTCCTGAATCCCTGTCGTTATTCCTGCAGTAACTCCTGTGGCACGGTGTGTGACTCCAACTTCTGGCTGGACCTGAACTACCTGGAGGTGGCCCGAGCTGCTCAGTCCTGCTCCGCCCACTTCACCGCTCTGCTCTACTCGGAGATCTACGTCGACAAGATCAAAGCCAACATGGAGGAGAGGCGCAGGTAATCCCCAGATTTATCACGCTCGCTGAATAATGAAACATGGCGTTCTTAATTTGAGCAATCCTGCTTTAATTCTATTGGTTTTCATCACCAGATGATATTGATTTAAAACTCCGGCGTAAAACGTTGGAGGTGATATGCGTTCCTTCAAGGAACCTGGGTCTTGAATAGACGCGTGACATGAAGTTAGCTGGCGACTGGAATCAGTTTGATCAGTCTGAATCTCAGAAATATGAATTTTTTTCTTGTGAGCCTGTGAACTCACGTTGCTAAAGCGCTAATTCAGGCTAGCAGTACCAACACTTCCATGTGGACGTTTTCCCTCCCAGAATCAGGATTTTTAAGGTGATCAGGTGCATTGGCATTCAAAGCCAGGACTGATGCCTTTTCCAGTCTCAAGTGTTTAATTTAAAGATAAAAATGTTGTTGTTGGATTTATTGAACAAATGAAGGTCCAAGTCCAGAGCAACACGAAAGATCAATTTTGAGGACGACAGCCAGAACGTCACCATCTTCAGTCTGACTGAGAGGAGCATGGAGGACACCAACATCAGTCTGCAGGTCTGCTCTGCCGCTAACATGCGTTTCCTAAAAATGTAGCTGGAATTTAAAGTCACAGATTTAAAAGTGAAGCTTGGCTTTTGTTTTGTAGCTTGTTCTACTGTCATAAATCTTTAACAAAAGCCTTGTTTTCCCCCTCGTCTCCCTCTGGCTGCTCCAGGATCTGCTGATTGAGGTGTATCGCAGCATTGGAGAGCCTGACAGTCTGTACGGCTGTGGAGGAGACACCACGAGCAGCTCACTGACCCGGTGAGCTGCTTTTATTATCGTAACTGAGGGTTTTACCAACCTTCAATCCTACACAATAAGTCAAAAACAGCAGAATCTTATTTAAAAAAAAGCTTAATAATACTGTTTGAGACCTTTATTGTGAAGGGCTGAAGAAAGTTCTGCTGACACTAGGCTTAAAAAACGACTTTGGGCTCTGGTGCACCAACATACCGTACAGTGTTTGATCAGAATGTTTTCACACGTTGGTCTACAGGATTCGGACGTACGAACACGAGGCTCTTTGGGGGAAGGCCCTGGCTTCATACGACCTTCAGTCTACTCTGCCTGAAGTCACTCGGCTGGTGGGAATCGTGGAGGTAAGGCGGTTAAAGCTGCTGCACTAAATAAACGTACGTAAGAGTAGGAAGAAGCTGTGTAGTTGCCAGTCTGAAAGGCTTCTGATGAGACATGTGGCACCAGGGCCTGCAGAACTTTGGTCTGAGCAGCGTCCTGGCCACCTACCTGAGGGGTTTGGAGAGCCAAGGGGTGGAGTGGGGGCCTGAGCTGCGAGAGCTGCGCTTCCAGGCGGCCTGGAGGAACGCCCAGTGGGACTGTGAGCTGTCAAACAGGTGAGGAGCAAAGAAATGATCTGATTTGGTGAATTTTAATTCACTGACCTATTCTGCTGTAATAGGAGTGACAAATCCAACCCCGGCTTCCATGAATCAGTGTTTTGTGCCCTGCAAGCGCTGAGAGACAAAGAATTTCTCATTTTTGATGAAACTCTGAGACAAACCAGGTACAGTTGATGCATAAATAATCCAGTTTGTTCCCAAATATTCTCCAAGTTAACGCTAAAATGTGCATTTTTGCAGGGGTGCAGCAGTGGAGGAGCTCTGCAGAGGGAGTCTGGAGGCGGTGTCGTCTCTGTACCCGGCTCTCAGGGACTTGCAGAGCATCGGGGAGCTGGAGAGCATCAGACAGCTCTTCTCCAGGTGGGTAAAAGTCAAGAAAATGGAGCCAGTGAAACAAGAATGTATGAGCCAGATGAAGATCAACACTAAGGGTTTAAAATCTTTCCTGCCAGGCCCTTCTCAGATGAGACTCTGACGGAAGTTTGCAGCCAGTGGCGGCAGCACTCCCAGCTGCTCCTGGACAGTGACTTTACCATGGTGGAGCCCATTCTAGCTCTGCGCTCTGTCACACAGCAGACCCTGTTATCCACGCTGGGAAACCCTGAAAGCAACCCGCGCTTGAGCTCGGTGCTCACAGACCACCTGATGGAGCTCTGCCGTTCGGCTCGCAAAGCTGGAAATGCACAGGTAGAACCACGCCCTCTTTTGGACGAAGTAGGAATGGTTCCTGCAAATTACTCTCAGATTTAAACCTGCTGTCCAGCTTGCAGAGCGTGCCGTCTACCAGATGAAGCAGCACGGGGGTGGAGGGACCTGCTCTGTGTCGTCATGGCAGCTGGAAGAGGCCCAGGTGTTCTGGGCTAAGGGAGAACAGGGTCCGGCTCTGGGCCTGCTGAGACAGATGATCCACAGTCTGGAGGAAAAGGTCACATGAATGACATATTTGACTTCTTTTATGCACTGAAAAGTTTATAAATTTTCCTCTGGGGTTTTCCAGGTGGACTTCGATCCGGCGTTGGTTCCACTTTACACAGAAAGCCTCAGGCTGTGTGGTAACTGGCTGGCTGAGACCTGCTTAGAAAGTCCTGGACTCATCCTGGAAAAGTACCTGGAGAGGGTAAAAAAAAACAAGCAGAGATGATGCTGATATGGATTAATCAAGCAATGTGGTGAAAAGCTGCATTTCTGCTGAAACAGCTGTGGTTTCCCGAGATTTTTGGTATAAAACGACACATTAAACAAGCTGTTTCCTCTAGGATCTAATCTCTTCTGTGATCAGAAGATTTTAAATACAGTTTCTTTTAAGATTCCTGACACGTCGTTCTCTCAGGCAGTGGAGGTGATCGAGGGGGGGTTAGAGGTCCGGGACTCCCGGCTCCAGAGCCAACAGAACGAGGCGTTCTTGTCTCTGGCTCGCTTCTCCGATGCCCAGTACCAGAGCATTGATAAGTACATGAAGTCCTCAGAGTTTGAGAACAAGCAGGCACTGTTGAACAAGGCCAAAGAAGAAGTGAGCTTGATAATGACACAAAACGTGTCAAACAGGTGGGTGTTTTGCTGTCTGAGTTTCACCACCGGACGAGAAGCTTTATGACATCAGAGATTCCCTCACAGATACACTGAGAAGGTGAAGAGGGAGCTGAAGCTAGACGAAGCGGCGCTGTCCAACCTGCAGGTGGACAGACAGCGCTTCCTCTGCAAGGCCGTGGAGAATTACATCCGGTGTCTGGAGGGCGGCCAGGAGCACGACACCTGGGTGTTTCGCCTGGCATCTCTGTGGCTGAAAAACGCCGGCATCAAGGTGGTGAACGACATGATGAAGGTCGGTGAATCGGCTCGTTGTGAGTTTGTGATTAAGAAGAAAAGTCTCAGTGAAGTTCTGTTTTGTTCTGCAGAGAGGAGTGAAGAAGATCCCCTCCTACAAATTCCTGCCGCTCATGTATCAGCTGGCTGCTCGTATGGGAACCAAGGCGGCCGCCGGCGTCTACGAGAACACCGGCTTCCACGATGTCCTCAATGATGTACCGCAGCTCGATTAACTCAAGAGTTGGATGGATGAAGCGTTCATTCATTTACAAATTCACAAATTTGTCTCTTGCCCTGTAGCTGATTTGCAGAGCAGCGCTGGAGCATCCTCACCACACGCTCTTCATCATCTTCGCCCTGGTGAACGCCAACAAAGATGAGAACTTTAGCAGGACGCGACAGACGAAGAACTCTCTTGGACAGCCTTCCCAGTTTGACCGGGTGAGACTTTCAGTGGAGCACTTTTCTCGTTAGCGGCATGTTGCCTAAACCCAAGCTCAAGCTAACCTGGAAAACTTTATTTCCCCTTAAACTGCGTTGAAAACAAAATCCTGCAAACACAAAAGGCTTGGATGCTACATTTCTTTGTCTGAGTGACCGGGTCAGGCTAAACCGATCACCTGCCGTGTTTTTGTCACACACTCGGACAGGAGCGTTCTGATGTAGCCCACAAGATCATCGGCGTCATCAGGGAGAAGCGCCGCGTGATGATCCGTGACATGGAGCGTCTGTGTGACGCCTACATCACTCTAGCCTACATGGACGCTAGCCGGCACAAGACTGAGAAGAGTGAGTGGTCTGAGCTCGCCGACTAACACAGAGTTTAGGCTTTTTAGTGATTCACGCTTTAAATCTGTGAATCTCTAAGGAGTTTGTTAAAAGGAGCTTTTATGTCCTGATCGTCAGCGGTGTGTTAGATTTCTGCATCTTGTTCCTTTTTAGAGGCCATTCCCATCCCGGCTGATCAGCCCATCATGCAGATCAAAGACCTGGGGGAAATACCCATCCCCACCATGGAGATTGAGGTTCGGCATCAACGAGGACTTCCTGCTTTCACTTGACTGCGATCATTTCTTGCGAGTTTCTTTCCTATTTTCTTTTTTACCACTCAGGTGGATCCATCTGGTTGCTATGACAACCTGGTGACGGTCAGATCCTTCCTTCCTCACTACCACCTGGCCGGAGGGGTCAACCTGCCCAAGATCGTCGACTGTGTCGGCTCTGATGGGAAGAGCAGGAGACAGCTGGTCAAAGTGAGTGTGTGTGATGGTTTTGGGTTTAGAAGAGAGACACGCCTTCGGGCGTATCACACTAAACAAACACACTCTATCTGAACTTGAAGCAGAGTGTTTTGTGTGTGATTCGACAGCTCTGCTGGGAAGTGGCAGTTAGTTTCCATCTGGTTTAGCTGCTGCTAATTATTAATCTTGGACAAAGGTAGTTTTAAAAATGTAAAAAAATGTAAAAACACTTGAAGATTAATGATTCACCACACGCTAAAGTGAACAGTTTTAACCTGTTGGTTTATTTAGGCAAGGCAAGGCTGCTTTATTTTTAGAGCACATTTCAAACACAGAGGCAATTCAATGTGCTTTACAATTATCAGGAAAATACATAAAAACACAAATTAAAATACACACAGACAGAATTACAGTTTAGAGCTAAAGGAGAAGAGTAAGCCCAGATTACAGTGGAGACGATGCAGAATAAGAAACAATTCATTTAAAGACTGATGAGTACATTAGGGTTTTTAGTTTTGATTTAAATATTAGGGTGGGGGCAGATCTGAGGTCATGGGGAAGCTGAGTCCGCATGTGAGCAGCATAGTAACTAAATGCATCTCCACCTTGTTTGGTTCTGACCCGTAGTTCTACCAGCTGATTGTTTCCAAGGGATCTCAGAGCCCTGTTGGGTGTACATACAGGGATGAGATCGGACATGTGTTTTGGTCCCATGCCGTTAAGTGATTTATAAACTAGTAGGAGCACTTTGGAATCTATTCTGTAGTTTACTGGTAACCAGTGTGGGGATCTAAGGACAGGAGTGATGTGCTCCGTTCTCTTAGTTCTTGTTAAGACTCTGGCAGCAGCCTTCTGAACAAGCTGCAGTTGTTTCACAGCTTTTTTGGGAAGACCAGTTAGGACACCATTGCAGTAGTCCAGCCGACTAGAAATAAAAGCATGAATACGTTTCTCTAAGTCTGGTCTGGACATGAGACTCTGACTCTTGATATCTGATGAAGGTGATAAAACGCTGATTTAGTTATAACCTTAATTTGTCCAGAGAAGCTCAGGTCAGAGTCAGTAATACCACCAAGATTTCTAATCTGGGTTTTTGTCTTTATTCCCCTGGAGTCCATCTGAGCAATAACATCCATTCTATCCTTCTTGTTGCCAAAGACAATAACTTCTGTCTTGTTTTTGTTTAGTTGAAAGAAGTTTGACTGCATCCAGTCATTTACTTGCTCTAGGCAATGACAGAGTGAGTCCAGTGGTCGACAATCATTAGGTGATAAGGCTATGTAGATCTGGGTGTCATCAGCATAGCTATGATAGGTGATGTTGTTATTAAGTATGACCTGACCCAGGGGGAGCATGTATAGATTAACGAGTAGAGGTCCTAGAACCATTGCAGTAATCCAGTGGTCTTACTTTTCCCTAAGTTAAAATCCCAAAAACAAAAAGCAGATAAGTATCATTTCTGTAGTTACGTGTACATAAGTGCGGGGTTCTTTTGGGAATCAGATCCCGGACAAGCCCCAAATTTGTTACTGCCTGACTCTAAAAATCGTAACATAAAAGAAAAACTTAATGTATTTATTTATCAAAACTAAATACCGGGTAAAAGTGCGCAAGTGAAACAAGATATAAGGCTGGGAGAGAAAACAACACACACACACACACACACACACACACACACACACACACACACACACACACACACACACACACACACACACACACACACACACACACACACACACACACCAGGAAATTAAAATGTAAAAAAAATACGTAGAACATGAAAAAGTGGTTTTTGTGACATCAAAAAGAAAATCTTTTCATCAACAAATTGTTTTCAAACACATTCACCCCAAACACTAGCTCATCCAGGGTGGTGGTCAAGACTAAAAACTATCAGCACAGATAAACAGTGTCTGAAAGTCACGTCATCAATAACTGGCTAGAGACATCTCCCCTAAACGCCAGTATCGGAACCCGATGGAGGTTTTGCTAGCAGATTATCTTTAATAGAGTCAGACTAGCTTCTACCTGTTAGCGTAGGACGGACTTAAATGAACAGAAATGAGCTTGTTAGTGAGAAAAACATGAAACTGTGTACATGTTGTTAAGTCATAATGAGGTTTATAAAAGTAATAATATTTAATAGTTTTCAGATGGGTTGACGGTATCTATGAGTAAAACATTACAGATGAAAGCTATAAAACGCTTTTAGAGCCCAAACAACAGAAAAAGGAGCAGAAAAAGTGCGACCATTGATCTTTTTACTCTGGATTGACTTTTGTCCTTGTCTCGGCGGACAGGGCCAGGACGACCTGCGGCAGGATGCAGTGATGCAGCAGGTCTTCAGCATGTGCTCCATGCTGCTGAAGCGCAACACGGACACTCGGAAGAGGAAGCTCAACATCAGGCGCTACAAGGTGACGTCCGTTTGAAGGAGTCAGGGATATGTAGGCTGCTGGTTTTTTGCGTTGACTCCTCTCACGCCTGAACCCAGGTGGTACCGTTCTCTCAGCGCAGCGGCGTGTTAGAGTGGTGCTCTGGCACGGTGCCGATCGGAGAGTTCCTGGTGAATCCAAATAAAGGAGCCCACAAACGCTTTCGACCGCAGGACTGGACCAACCTGGCCTGCCGCAAGAAGATGATGGTACATGGACTCTTTTCCGTTCATGTTCCTGTTGTAAGTCATCCTTGAATGTGCTGATGTTTTTTCTTTGCTGTCGCTACAGGACGCTCAAAAGTCGGCATTTGATGTGAAGCTGGAGGCCTACAGCGAGGTGTGTAAGAGGTTCAGGCCGGTCTTTAGGTACTTCTGTATGGAGCGGTTCTTGGACCCCGCCGTGTGGATGGAGAAGCGGCTGGCATATACTCGCAGTGTGGCCACCTCCTCAATAGGTGCACTATCATGACTCAGCGTTTATTACACACATACAAATGCACACTGTAGTGATTTCTCTCTTGTTCCCCCCTCAAACAGTGGGGTACATTGTTGGTCTGGGTGACCGTCACATCCAGAACATCCTGATCGATGAGCAGACGGCTGAACTGGTGCACATTGATTTGGGTATCCTTTATTCTCATTTCTTTCATTCAAAGAAAAGCTTTTTTAACTCCCTGAATAAAAACTAGATGTTTTCTGCGGTCATTGGTGTTTGGTGTCCAGGTGTGGCCTTTGAGCAGGGTAAGATCCTCCCCACCCCCGAGACTGTCCCCTTCAGGCTCTCCAGGGATATCGTGGATGGGATGGGCATCACCGGAGTGGAGGGGGTTTTCAGGAGGTGAGGAGGATTAGGAGTCTGTAGGGAGCCTACGCAGCCTGGAAAACAGCGTAGCTTAATAGTTTTTTAGGTCCTGAACTCCTTTACTTATCCTATTTTTCATTTCTAAAGGAAACAATACAGCGTGGTGAAATGTGTTTATTGTTCTTTTATTTTCAGAAACACTGTACCCACACAGTGTTTGGAGCTGGCAGAGAATCAAAGCCCAGAAATTAATTTCTTGTAGATTTATGGTAAAAATTTCGAACTGGAAATTAAAAATGTATTACAATCCGATTGTTTAGTCTGGAAATGTATAGAATTTCAAAATGGAAGGGATGTAGGAACTCTGTTCTGTGCTTTATTTTTTGGTGTTTTTGTGTTTTTTTTTTAATGTTTAATGACTAAATTTGCTCTTAATACCTTCCACATTATTTCAAATCCATTAGTTATGTGCAGCCACATGCATGTTTTATTAAATACCATGTTTAATCCCAGTGACTGGGGGAAAGAGAGCTGCAGATGAGCATGTGGACACAATCTGAGCTTCACATCTAGTTTCTCTCATCAGATGCTGTGAGAAGACCATGGAGGTGATGAGGAGCTCACAGGAAGCTCTGCTGACCATCGTAGAGGTTCGTACACCAAACTTTCATATCAGTGTAGATTCTGTCATCCGGGACAGGGTTTACAGTAAAAACAAACAAACAGAAACATCACTGGATTTAACCCTCCCACTCTCCCAATGGGTGTGACCCTGTGAGGAAAGTTGACTATTGAGCAGGGTTGATGGTTGATGGTGCTCACTCCTCACCCCTGCCACATGGACCTCAAGGGATAAACCACCAATCCTGCTCAATGGTCAACTTTCCTCACGGGGTCACACCCATTAGGACAGTGGGAGGGTTAAGCGTTAGTTCACCTAATGGCTTGATAATAACCCCCAGATGAGAAATGAAACGAGGTTGTTTTGAAAGAAAAGGTTCAGACACAAACCCTGTGGGTTGTTCTGTGTAGGTGCTGCTGTACGACCCGTTATTTGACTGGACCATGAACCCCCTGAAGGCCTTCTACCTGCAGCACGATGAGCAGCAGGAGCTCAACGCGACTCTGGGCTCCACGATGGGAGGAGATGACATAAACAGCCATCGCAAACCCAGGTGAGGTTCCAGAAGACCTGAACTGGAATTAAAGCCTTATAGGACGAAGTAAATTATCGTTTCTTTCTACAGCGACAATCAGAGCTTCAATAAGGTGGCGGAGCGGGTTCTGCTGAGGCTCCAGGAAAAGCTGAAGGGGGTGGAGCAGGGAACAGTGCTCAGCGTGGGGGGGCAGGTCAACCTGCTCATTCAGCAGGCCATGGACCCAGAAAACCTGAGCAGACTCTTCCCAGGGTGGCAGGCCTGGGTGTAAGCCTAGGAGAAGTCTGACACCATCAGACCCAACCAGTTGAACCAGATCCACCCTATAAATGCTGACCTTTGCACTTTAATGAGAGGCAAAGTGACAGACCAGATGCAGCGATGTGTGGAAGGACCATTTTCACAACAGGGACGTGAAACGGATCTGTGAACAGCCTGATTACTCGAATGTTTACTTCTGGGTTTTATCCTGTTCATCTGTTTTTACTGTTGAGTTCAGTGTGAAAAACTCCAAAGATGTTTTATGAATGTATGATGAATTAAACACCCTCAGCAGCCCGTCACATCCATCCTGCAGAGCATCCTCCTAGCCTTCATATTTTCTTTTTCTGTAGAATTTTGCACAATTGTCATGAAACAAATCTTTGTAACCGCTACTCTATAACACCTTGTTGTCTTTTTTTTTTTACCTGTATGCTGTTTCATTCAATAAGCAATAAAAACTAATTGTTTATTAAGATCTTTTTACAATGGACACTATGCAGTTTTGACTTGCTTTTAGCACCCCCTAGTGTCTGTTAGTGAAAGGAAAATTGAAACTCATCTCCAAAGCGAATTGAGATATCCCTGTCCAAACAGAAGGTAATGAAAGCCTGATCGATGGACTCCAAGTGCAACCGTTTCAGGATCCGTTTTAAACAAACCAGTCGGCACAGGTGGACAAAACAAGATAGTCTGGCTTGCATCCAGTTTGACCCAAAGGCTGGTCACACTGTTTTAGGTGGAGTATGCGAGGGTTTGGGAGGGAACGGGTGGGGAGGTATTGAACTCCTTTAGTTTCAGGAAGTTACCATCTAACCAACCCCTCTCCTCTGCTAGGCATTGGTCAAGGAGTGAGAGAGCATTTGAATTATTCATGGCCAGATAGATCAGACAACCATCTGCATAAATATGGTAACCTATACCATATTTAAATAATGTTAGAGTATATGAGAGTAAGTTTTTAGGAGTAGTAATTGATGACAAACTTGGTTGGAAACCCCACACTGAACATGTCTAAAGGAAACAATCGAAATCCATTTCTGTTCTTTATAATGCAAGAGATTTTTTTAATAAGAGCTGCCTTCATTTACTGTATTATCCCCCTAGTTTGCCTTAAATGACGTATTGTGTGGAAATCTGGGGGAACACATAAAACATATTTAAATCCAATGTTTAAATAGCAAAAACAAAAAGCTATTAGAATAATCAATAAAGTTGGATATGGGGAGCCCACCAACCACTTTTTTTTTATAGAATCATCTATGTTGAAATTTATGGACATTACATATTCAAAAACTTTAGAGATGGTATATCGAGTAGTGAAAAGGGGTTTTCTAATTTGTATTTTAAGCATGTTTAAAATAAGTGAGGGACAATATGATTTCAGGGGTCTTATGTGTTTTAGATTCCTAAGTATAGATGTGTGTCTGCTAAAGGAGGGACATTATGGAATGGACTAGATTTGCTATTCTCTGTCGTTTTTCAAGAAGACTAAAAATTAAAATATTCCTAGGTTACAGAAATTTGGTTGGATGTCTAACTTTGTGTTGATTTAATTCCTTGTCTTAATTTATTATTGATTTATTTTCAAATTGATCTGTAAAATACCCACTAGCATTTATTTTCTTGGTTAAGGATTTGATTAACCCTAATAGGGTAGAGGATCGGCTAATTATTATAAGCCATTCGGCTTCAGTCTGTTCCTTTTTAGGTTGCTGTGTAATTGAGTATTTTTATGTAAAATGATAATTTATTGTTGTTGATCAAAATAAATGAATTTATTATTATTATGATATATTTTTCCAGGATTTGCCCAAGGAGAGAACATAGATGAAAAAAATAAAAAAGCAGAGGCCTCAGAACAGAACCTTGTGGCGCCCCCCAAGGGAGTGGGAGACCAGGAGTAGAGCATTTATTATTCTGAACCCTAAAGTTAAGTAGGAGTGGAACCACTCAGGGGTTCCCGAGACCCACCCACGATTCGAGTCTGTCCAACAGGATGTGGTGGTCAGTCGTGTCAAAGGCAGCACAGAGGTCTAATATAAGAAGCAGAACACAGGACCCAGAATCAGAAGCCCCGTCAAAGGTCATTGTAGCACATACTGGCTCAAGAAAATGATTTTAAAATATGAAAAAATTGCAAAGTATCCCTTTGAATGTGAATACAAGAAGACTTGTAATTTATTTTAACTCATTATTTGATCAATTTTAATGTTTAATTGATATATTTTCATCACATCTCCAAAGAAGAGGAAATGCCCTAAGCTGCATGGTGGAAAAGCTACTGATTTTTAATTATCTGATGTTGGAATTTTCACAAGAAGACGCCGTCTCTGGTTGTGTTTCCTGCTGATTACACAGAAAATGGCAACAAACCCAATGAGTGTTTATCTTGAGTTTTCTGTATTAAGCAGCCTCTCTTTTGCGGTTCTGACGTGATGAGTGTGTGTGTGTGTGTGTGTGTGTGTGTGTGTGTGTGTGTGTGTGTATGTGTGTGTGTAATGTAATATAGGATTCTCAACAGTTTAAAAATTACTTTTATCATCATCTCCAATGTTTTAACAGCAGAATCTGAACTCGGGGCCTTCTTTCACTCACGAAGAGGACAAAAGAAAACATTCTTCTTTGGATCGACCAGAACCTCACTATGTTTACCCTCTGGCTCCAAACCCACCACCAGAAATTTTTGATAAGGGTGGCCAGATGGAGCCAAAGAAAATATCGGAGTGGCACACCAAACTGGTCCTTGTGGTAACTCTGGGAGAGTTTAGCCAGTGGCGATGCATTGCAAAAACAATTTTTATCCAAAACAGCTGCACAGTGGTACAGTGGTTAGCGCTGGATTAAAATCCTGGCCTGGGGTCTTTCTGCCAGGAGTTTGCATGTTCTCCCTATGCATGCATGGGTTCTCTCTGGGTGCTCCGACTTCCTCCCACAGTCCAAAAACATGACTGTCAGGTTAACTGGTCTCTCTAAATTTTCATTAGGTGTGTGTGTGCTTGGTTGTTTGTCATGTGTGTCTCTGTGTTGCCCTGAGATGGACTGACCACCTGTCCAGGGTGTACCCCGCCTGCTTAACCCAAACATGTATCCAAAACACTTATCTCAAACATTTCAGGAAAAGACATTTCAGTTATTTAAAACATATTTTAGCATATTATTTTTTAGTTTAATTCACCTGTTAATGTATTCACAAAAAACTCAGGAGATATAAACATTTTTTAAATGGTGAGCAGCAGAAACATACATTTTTAAAAATCTGTTGATTTCTTTCCTCATTAATTCTATAATATTTTTATTGGGCTTTACATTTATTATTGAATAAATAAGATGAATTTATGGTTTGAGTGAACATTAATATGATTTATTTACACTGGTCTTCCCTGGAGGGGGCATCAATTTTCTAAGGGTGGCCATGGCCACCCCTGACCACCCCTTGAGGGAGCCAGTGCCTGAGAGCAGCCACACCATCCCAAAAGAGAAAGGTATCCAACATCCATCCAGGAGGTGCACCATCAGACCTGTGTTTCTCCCGAACCCTGGCTTAAACAACATGTTGGATGCACTTTTTCTTTTGTTTGTGAGAAGCATGTCAGGTTGATTTTTCCTGTTTTTGTTTTGGTTTGGTCTGTTCTCATTGCTGTTATTTTGTGGGGGGATTGTTTTTCTGTGGTTGTTTGTGAAAAAAGAATATGAATGTTCTGTTTGACAAATGGAAAACTACAAATAAAGTTAAAAAAAGAAATAATTTAGCTGCTTGTCTTTACTTTTCCATCTAGTATCTGATCATTTTGGGAAGATCTTGTGTGCCAGGAAAAGGATGGTCACTTCAGCTGCTTACATCTGGGATCTCGATGTAATGTAACAAAGTACAAGTACTTCATTACTATACTGAAGTACAATTTTGCTGCATCTGTACTTCACTTAAGTATTTTAACCCATTTATCTGTACTTTTACTCAAGTAAAAAAAATCAAGTAGTTCTTCCACCACTGGCGGTCCCGTATCAAGAAATATAAGAGCCGTTTTCTTAGACTGGACCAAAGCCTTCCTTGATGAAGACAAAGCTTTGATGCACCTTCCCTCATGAATAAAGTCCTCCACTTGAGCTAGACTCACCCACAACTACCCCAGTACAGGACGATGGTATTGGATTAGTAGAAAAACATGAACCATGGATCTTTTTTGTTTTTATTACCATTTCTTAAACCTGATTTAGTTTATCTGCTGTGGACTTTTCTTCCAGCACTAACACTTGCCTAGTTTTCTTATGTTTTGTCTCTCACTGAATATTAAAAGGTAGCTAAAGTCCAAATAAACTCATAGAGTCCTAAAAACGTTAGAATAACTACTTATCAGGACCACTTTAATAGATTTAGATGATCTGCTTAATTGGAATAAATATACAAAGGTATTTGGGATGCTTTAAAACTTTTGCACTGCTGACAACTGCCTTCTCCTTTGTGACCACTGGATGGCAGCCCTGTTATGATTCTACTGCTCTTCATTGTGAAAGGTTTTGTCTGCAGCAAAATCAAAGCATCTCTTCAAAGAGAAGTCAGTTGGAAGGTGAGCAGTGTCTTTGACAGACTCCAGCTCTCTGCACCTGATGGAGGCTCAAGTTTCACTCATCGATTCTGCAGAATCCCAGCTCATCCCCAGACACGCTCCGTTTCTGGGGTGTAGAAACAGGAAACACCGTGTGCAACATCAGAAAAATACACAACCCAAACATTTTTACATAAAGATGTGATGCGTACAGTAAAAAAATGCTGTGAAACTTGTTGCACTCAATCACCACCTCAAGGGTTTAATCGTGTATCTGACGACTCCTTATTGATGCAAACCCGCCTGGCGCTGCAGAAGAATGCACTCAGACAAACGCCTGCTTGAGTTTTCATCCTTTCATTTAACTTGCTTTGAGGCACCATCAGACAGAACCTGCTCTGTGATTTCATAAACACATTTTTGAGTCAAACCAAATACACATCTCTCGGAGCACAGAGGTTCAGTGCTTCTGATTGAACCAAATAGAAAGATGTGAAAATGAATCTTTTTGTCTGGCCTGAACTTTGTTTCGGTTTGATGATGGGAGTCCTCTTGTGTCCCTGAGAACAGGGGTGTTTCTCAATGTCACGGCCCTGCCTTGGTAGGCCAGGGCCCATGCTTACAAGGACACGGTCCTTCCTTGGTCAAACAGTTAAATGGAACAGACTTAGTTACCCCAGCTGCGGTTTATAAATCTGTAATGAGCCTTTTACTTATTTGCGTATATATTGGTTAAATTAAATATGTAAGCAAGTTACTGCCTACTAGCCACTGAAGCTGCAACTACTAAGCAACTAACCAACCACAACAACTGCTTTGGACCTAACAAAACATTTTAGATATCAGCCCGATGGCTACAATTAGTTGACTTGCATTTAAACTGGGCTTATAAGCTTATGCTTCTGCCTGCGCCCATTCTTAGCATAGTGTAAATTGTGCGTTTGCTTGTAAACCTGCAAATGTTTCTTTGTTATATTATACTATTGATCTTAATTTCTCATTAAACTTCTCATATAAACTGGAAGTTTTCCCCCGAAGTAGCTGCTGGCTTCTGATCTGCCATCCGTTAGAAAATACCGCGGTGTATTCAGGGAAATTTTTACCTTAGAAAAGGCAACAAGGCGCCTCCGCAGCACGTGAACATTGGAACATGGTTCCTGATGACGCATCTCCTAGGCAAACAGGGTGGCATCAAGGTGAGGTTCCTTGACATTGAGAAACAGATTGACTATGGTGGCTCATAGTGGACATTTACACAGAACACTGCACAGGACGGACGGTATGTTCATGGGAACGTCAAATACCATCTGAACAGGATGAAAGTAAAGAGTCATGACTGTCCCTGACATGTTCCAGATCAGAAAACCTGAACCAGTTTCTTAAGAACGGTGCATGCATTGCTTTTTGAGATCGTTTAACTAACATTGTGTTGTCAGGTTGGAGTTGAAAGCAGGGTGTTACAGTAACACAACAGGGAAAGGGTTGTTACATAGCAAAATCATCTAAAACGGCTTTTTGTACCTTTGATATTGAAAGTTGACAGCATAGGCAGAAGAAAACAAGAAATCTATAAGTAGACTAATACTTTTGCACAACAATAGCTGACGTATTCAAACCAGTTTTCTCATTATATTTGTTAATTTAATGTTTTCTGGGGAGAACTAATAAAACTTTTACCTTATTGAGCAACATTTTAGTTTTATTTTGCTTGCAGAAGCATCAAGATGCCCGAGGAACCTGACTGAAGAAGTTGTGTAAATCACGGTTAGGCTTATTCAGCCAAGGTTATGTTCACTGTGCGATTAGAGTAAAACCCTGTAAAGATCCTTTATTTTCATTCTAATGCATCTGTGCCAAATTTCTGTAATGAGCCAATAAATGTACCGATTAGTCGCATCAGCACCACAAGATGGTAAAGTGCACAAATACATTTTCCTCCTGGAATTTACACAAATGATTTTAGTTTTACAGCAAGTCCAGTTCAAGGCCACAAATCTTCTAAAAATAGCATCAGAAAGTCTATAAAAGTGAGAAAACCATCTGAAAATCCATCCAACAGGACGTGAAGTTTGTGTGGCCTAATCAGAGTTTCAGTGAAAATTAGAAATCAGAGTTTTGTTCTACGCATCCACATTTTTATTAATTTAAAATGTTAAGTTCGGATTTGCCACAAACAATTATTTACACAACAATTACAGTTTTGGCACAAAAATACACCTTTAAATAAGTGAACATTCAGACAGACAGGTTTACAGGCTTTAGGCAGCGTGGGTCGTTTCACACTTCCTGTCCAAACCCACGACCGACTTTTCACTTTGAAGACTGATTTGTAGTGTGCAGGTGACTTTTGTTCCGTCAGGAGTCTGCAAACGTTTTTAGTTTAGAGAGACGTCTTTGGGGTTTGTTTTGTAAAAATGTGCAGGATGTAGACAGCTTCGGAAATTTAGGCAACCAGCTAAACGAAGCCGATAACAGACTGAAGTTCTGATCGGTGGCTTGGTGCGACGCCTCTGATCAGCTTTAGAAACAAAGTGCAGCTCAGGAGCATCAAGTCTCAACCTGCTGATCGTGTGAACATCTGTCACCTTTCTGTTTACTACCAGATGATTAGAGCAGCTTCATCCCTGCAGTTTCAATAAAGTCAAAGATTAATTTGCTACGCAGAAGAAAATGAGCATCAGAAAGTCTAATTAATTTGATCAGAAAAAGGTGTCAGATATGCACAAAATCAGCCATCAGCTCCTAGAACATGGACATTTCTAACCCACGTGGAGTTAAAGTGCTCCCCGTCACTCCTGATCGTCTAACGATAAAGCTCGTTGTGGGATTATTTTGGTTGGGTCTGGTTAGACTGCCTACAATTCATCAAATACCTTTCACAGCCTTAGAGAGACAAAAGGGTTCAGAAAAAGGCCAAAGAGCTAAACTTTTTGGCATTTAGCAGAAAAAGCCATGACCAAAAGGTTTAAGTGCATTGTTGTCAGTGCACCTTCCTCCATTCCTGATGTCTTCTCCTTAGGAGTTTGTTTAGGGACTGGGAATAAAACAGGAACGTTGATCCAGTAGGAGGTGTTTTGGGGCGGAGCTTTCCTCTCAGAGGCAGTTTGTCCAACTGTCTCCATGGGCTGAGCTCACGAGAGCAGTCTAAAGTCAGCATGACGTTCAGGATTAAAGGTCAGCTCAAACTGACCCCCACTTCCTTCTCCATAGCTGTGGATGGGCTCTGTCCACGGTCCCTCTGTTCGTCTGTGGTGCTCGCCCGTCCATTTCCCCCCAGTCACTTGATGCGATGTCGCACCAGTGAGGACTCGTCTGTGATCTCCTCAGAGCCACCTCTGCACCTGCAGGGCAGCAGCAGCGCTAGCAGCAGCCCGATGAGGATCACGGTGCAGACCGCCATCAGGGCGTAGGAGATAACCCACAGGATGGGCTCCTTCAACAACCTGCCTGAGCAGTCAGCAGCCACGTCTGCAGCTGGGAAGGGTCCAGCGATCTCCGAGAGGGCCGCTCCGCCGCTCACTGCAAAGAGAAACAAGATCAACTGTAGCGGCTGCTGGACCGTTTAGTTTTAGTCACATGAGACCAGCAGAATGGACCATGTCCATTACTATGAAAACAGACGACCCAAACCTCACCAGTTCTGGGGACCGATACCATTTAATGGTTCCTGTACAACTGTCCTACTGACACCCAATTAGTTCCATTTTGATTCATCTCAGAGTTGTAAGTATCTATACTAGAAATCTAGACCAACCACAGCAGAAGCAAAGGTTTTACTCTGCAGGTCTGTCTAAATAGTAAATGGACTGTATTTGATATAGCGCCTTCTAGAGTCCAGGAACCCCCCAAGGCGCTTTACAACACAATCAGTCATTCACCCATTCACACACACATTCACACCCTGGTGGGGATGAGCTACAATGTAGCCACAGCTGCCCTGGGGCACACTGACAGAGGCGAGGCTGACGAGCAGTGGCGCCACCGGTCCCTCCGACCACCACCAGCAGGCAACGTGGGTTAAGTGTCTTGCCCAAGGACACAACGACAGCGACAGACTGAGCGGGGCTCGAACCTGCAACCTTCCGATTACGGGGCGAGCACTTAACTCCTGTGCCACCGTCGCCCCTGCTCCATTGTAGCCTCAGCAGGTCTACCATTGGACCCAACAGTTTTAGGTCTGGCCAATCACGGCGCTCTGTAGAGAGATTCTAGGCAGGCTTAGTACCAGAGCTGTGACTGAGAGAAACTACAAAACGGAGGCGGCTCAGGCATAGGCGAAAATCCTGAAAACGTCCCCCACCAACTCCATAAAACACAATATGTTTTTGGTTTTAATAATATATTCACTTTTGTTGAATGCACAATACAAGTTGTGCTACTTAAAAACACACTGAGAGTTATAAGAAGTGAAAGATTTACAGATATTGTCCAGATTTGTACATTTATGTTGGACATTACTTAGAATCTAATTTTCCATTTCAGATTTAGTCTTTTTATTTATTTTTTAAATATAGTTCTACCTTTGACTTAGATATTCTGTTAAACAGACATTCATTTTGTAACATTCTGACTGGTAGTTTCCACTCCATATGTTCCTCTAATTATACACATTTTAAAGTCAAACATCTTTTTACACAGTATAGTAAGTTCACAGTGTTCTGGAATTGTTACGTACACATTCATGTAAAAATTGTTTTCTTTTACAGCAGGAAAAGCTAAATGTAGGTCAAATAAACATTATCAGCTGGGTACTGAACCTCCTCTAAATCTAAAACCTGTGTTCTTGTTATTGTCCAATGGTCTGGCAGCTTCTGGTCAAGTCAAAAATGGCAGAGAAACAACAAATGAAAGACATCAGATCATTTTTCAGTTCACCAAAACGCCAAGTAAGTTGAAAGATTTGAATAGTATTAAGGCAATTTGTTATTATTGTCCATATAAATAAATGATATGCTTTGGATATGTTTAATAATGGTATCATTAGGCACAAAGTACAGAGCTGGATACAAAGAGATGGAGCCAGTCAAGCAGAGACACAGAGTCTCAAGTGAGTTTGAGATTTTGTTTAGTGTCATGAAAAAAAAGAGAATTCTGTCTTTAGACCACTTAAACTAATGATGTGTGTTTTGTGTAGTTGTGGGTTTGAGGTTGGAAAACAACTTGTTGGTATTATTGGTAGAGCATCCAAAAACCTGTAGACAGGTCTGGACTATATATATATGGACTAATAAAGAACAACAGCAATTATTTAATAATATATGAAATATTTAAGACGCATCTGCACATGAAAAAAAACAACCTTTTTTAAATGTCCCCCTCAGGAATTACTCCTGAAATTTTTACTGTGTAATGTCCCCCCCCCAACAATGATGAGGGATTTTTGCCCCTGTGCTCAGGAACGGTGTTCACCTGAAATGGCATTGGCATCAACTTTGGGTGATTTAGACTTGGGCTTTTCTTTGAGACGTGAGCCGATAGAGGTACTTAAGTAATTTATTTAGATAAAGGTGCATTTTGTAACGGCATGATGGTTCTCTGATTTGTGCCAAAGGTCACATTTGCCCTGCTGGGTCAAGCTGGGTCTAACAGTACTTTGAATCCACAGATTAAACCCAAGGAGCCACGATGTCTAGCCAAGATCATAACATCATCTGCTGTTCCGTCCCAGAAGAAGGACACTTCAAGCCACAATGATAATAATTAAATAATAATTAATAAACGTATGATTCTATTACTGTTTAAATAATCATTACAACATGATCACTTGGTTCAGATATAAAGGTATTTTAATGACCTGAAATGGATTATTATGCTTTGGTATTATAATGATAATTATTATAATGATTAAAGATGTGTTCAACAAAGAAGACCTTCACCTATTCAGCTAACACAGAGCTCAGATAAACAATAACTGCAGCGCATGTTTTGATGCATGACCAAGCTTTCTTCTGGAGAGAGAGGGAGGGGTTCTGAGAGAGTTTGGTAAAAACTAACCATCACAGATTTCACATCCAGTTCTTCAACCAACACCACAAGGAAAGGAGTACGGCCATCTCCTGACCTCCGCCAAGCTGTTCTGTCATGCCGACAAGAATGGCTAAAGAACAAACGAAACTAACGAACTAACGCAAGACTCTCCCAGAGTCATTGATTTCTGAAGTTAAGTTAAAAGACGAGAACGTTCATCTGCCAAACGCTTTGTACAGCCGTGTCCCCAGGACATCTCTGGACCGGACGATCGGACACTTGCGTCTACTCTACCAGCCGAAGTGCCACCTTGGATGAACCCATCCTCCTGACGTCTGGATCCACAAAGGGGGTCCTGCTTTGGGTGAGGTAGAACACGACAGATGACGTTTGATGCCGTTTTCTCTCAAAACAACTCAGTAATCCGCAAAACATCATTTTCACCAGAACGCTTCCATTCCCTCTGAAAGAAACCTTCTGAGAACTTCATTCACTCATTCAAAACTCACCATTCTCAATTTTAGCTCCATCCAACACAGGTTTGCTCTTGAACAAGTAATATCAAAGCTGTTAAGGATTGTCATTAAAATTGCCATCTATGAATTGTCATTTTTATAATTGTCGCTTCAAATCTTTCAGTTTAAAATGGTTAGTAAATAAATTTCTTCATTTTTAAACTTGCCTCATTATTGAAACAAAACACAGAAAAGGGTTGCATTTCCAGTTTATCGAATGAAAAGAATCTTCCTGAATCTTCTGATTAATAAATAAACTTTTGCTATTATTTTAAGTATCGTGAATTAGTATTCTCACCATTACAATTTGCTTCCTCTGAATATGCCAGACTGCCCTGTTGATTGATTGTCGTAGCCATGAATACCTCACGTTGTTCGTTGCTCTGATTGGTCCTAGTGTTGTCCAATAGCAGTTTGAAAGACAACTGTAGAATCTACCCAACGACTGAGCTCTATCTGTGGGTCGTGGCCAGACTACACATGTACTGATACAGCACGGCTTGGCAGGCTAGTGGTTAAAAGAATACTTTCTATTTCTAACTAGAAAATTATGACTCTAGAAGTAAACTTCTCACATGGAAGAGCTGTTACTGCTCCATGGTAAGAAAACAACTGCCTCTAGAGGTCTAGAATACCCCAAGGAACACAGAATCAGTCATTCCCGCATTAACACCCTGGAGGTGATGAGCTACAATGTAGCCACAGCTGCCCCAAAGCACGCTGACAGAGGCGAGGCTGCCGAGCACAGGCGCCACCGGTCCCTCCGACCACCACCAGCAGGCAGGCTGGGTTAAGTGTCTTGCCCAAGGACACAAAAGCAGCATTCTCTGCCGGGATCGATCCTGCAACCCTCCGATTACTGGACAACCTGCTCTACCTCCTGAAACACCACTGCTGCTCCCAACAACAAATACAACAAAACAAATCAAAGCAACCAGACTTAAGTTTCAGATAGGCTGAGCACCCGCTAAGCCGACCAAGATCAGCTGATTCAGGTCCTCAGCTGTTCTCGTTGGTGCATCTCTGCTCATCTGGTTGATGACTTCATCCAAATGCAAATCTAAGATCTGCACAAATATTTGATGAACATTTTAGAAGCTCGTGACACATAAGAGCTGGGTTTAATGAACAGAAACATTTATTATCCTTGTTGAAACTAAACTTCCTGAAGCTCATCAATAGCTCTTTTAGTCTGAACTGCCGGATCAGAGTGGAGTTGGCATCCGAATCGTCACAAGCCTACATCTGCTTCTGGCTCATTTGCTCACAGAACAAATCCAGTCTTTGTGGTTTTTTACACAACACCACACAGTTTAACCCACTTCTGACCTGATGCGACACATGAGTGTCTTTCTCATTTCTAGAGAGGACAACGGGCCTCCATGAGCAAAGGTCAGTTAGTTAGGAACTCCTGATAGTGGAACTTGTAATCATCTCTCACAAATTCAATGTTTTTAACCTCGTTAAATATCTTATTTTGTTTAGGGCGAATCATTTACAGCTGCGGTTCCCACCAAACTAAACCACTGAAACAAGTCTTCTCCATTAGCTGAGATTTAGTTTTGTAAAATCTACAAAATAATTATTTGAAATCATTCACATCGTTTTATTTTAGCAGTTTTAGTGCTACCATCATCTGCTGCTGCGACCAGATAAAAAGTGTGTGTGAGACACGATGCTGGGGAGTTTGATGGCAAAATATTAAAAATTAGTTACCGAGTGTTCATCTTCAACTGATTCAGCTTCGGAGTTAAGTCAGTTCAAGCAGCGTTCTCTGGTAGGAATGAATGCCTTGCAAGACGTACTCGAGGCAAAAAAAAGCCCAGAATCGCTCGGATCAGCACAAACAGCAGAGAGTTTCACAACATGACAGGAGTTGGACTCTTATTTCCTGATATTTGGACATCTTAGCTCGGATTGGCTAATAGCAACACAACTCTACCACTAACCTGCAACACTGATGTTTTATCTCCACAAACAACTCAAGCCTGGAGGAGTTTTTCTGTGTGGTGGTGTTGCTAATGGTTAGCTTCTACTAGCCAAGATGTGTTTCCAACATCAGCCTTCCCAGTCTTGAGTCAAGATGGGCGAGGCCGTGAATGCTAAGTGACAGTGTGACGTAGATCTGTCAGGCTTTTCTAATCCTAGAGTTTCGCCGTCTGTTTTCTGTCAGAAGCTAATGCGGGAGATAGGTGTAGGAGACTATTTTCATGTTCAGCCTGCATGAAAAACTCAGTGATTGATCATAATCAGAAATAATCATTAAAAATGGTTTTTCAGAGTTCCACACCTTTAAATTTACAGCTAGAGGCAATTTTGGTAGCAGCTGAGAGTCGGTTTCTCATAACAAAATTAATTTGTTTAAAACTCTGTCATAAAAGAGCAACATGCAATCATTCGTGTAACCTTCGACCTCTAAGAACTTGTAGTTTTGAAGATTCTCCACATTCTGCTTGACCCCTGACCTGCACAGCTGCTGAGAGCGAAGCCCAGTCTCTTCTGAGCCCGGTCGAACGCCACGTAAAAACCTTCCATTACAGTGGCACCAATCACCAGGCCGTTGGCCGAGGAGGACAACCCGAAACGGAAGCAGGACAGCGTGCCGTCCACGTCGGTGATAGGCTGGACGTAAAGCTGCAAAAAGACAAGAATCATGAATGTGCGGAGCAGCTCTGGAGAATGAAGACCCATGTGGTGCCAGCTACCTGAGGCAGGATGGTGATGCGGAAGGACTGGCTGGTGTTGGTGGCTCGTAGGTAGATGGACAGCTTTGGGAAAAACTTCCAGGGAGTTTCTCCCTTCATCCAGCATGCAAGCTTGGTGCCGTCCCAGAACCCTGAAGAGAACTCTTGGATCTGAATAAAAAAGAGAAAAAAGACAAAGCAGAACAGAGGAAGGCAGGTGGGGAGGAAGATAAAAAGACAGAAACAGAAGGTCAATGCAGCAGCAGCAGGAGAGGTTTTGATGTCTGCCCCCCTGCTTACCCATTTGGGTTTTTCCTGCAAAAGATGCAGGTACAGTAACTAGAAAACGCTCAAATCAACCTTGAGTGCAGTTCCAAAAGGTGAAAACCATGTAAAGTGGAATAGAAAATGAGCACACTTTACTTCCTACACAGCAGAGAAACCCTGAATCCCTCCACCTAGAGCTACTCCGTCCTTGTGCAGCGAGTGAGCGCCGTTCTCTGCTTCTCTTTGCTCTGACAACACCTTTCATCAGCGTCTGTGGAGAGAAGGCTGCGTACCAGAGAGCTGCTCGTGATGGCTTCCACCACCGCATTGAAGACATTGACAGGAAGTCTCAGCAGTGTCGTCCCACTGTCAACGATGGCTTTATCCGTGTTATACTGAAGGGAAGAGAAAGCGGAGAACAGCGGGGGTTTCTGAGTTCAGCAGGAATACCTCCAACAAACTAAACAAGCACACAGACGAGACTGCATTTCTTTGCCGTCAGATCCTGTTACATGTATGTGCGGCTGAGGATTAATTCTTTCCTTTGCACAACAGTTCTCTGCACATTTGATATAAGAAACTTGTAAATTATTGGCATTTATTGGAAATTTTACCATGGTGGTGAAATTAAAACAACCAGTGGGCCTTTCCATCGGACACGTAAGCGTTGTGTTTTGAAAGAGAGGCGCCGCTCCGCACAATTTACGCTTTGAGTCTAATTTTACGCTCTATGCCCCCAGAATGCATCAAGCTGAGCTGTTCAGATTGGGTCAGACAGGAAGTCAGACACGAAAGCAGTAGAAAACATCCAGAAACTTTCTAAATAAAAGTCACGTTCAGATTTTTAGTTGCTTAACTCGTAAATAAAAGTGCGTCACCTGTGAAACCTCCGTAGCCGAAGAAAACATAAAATAAACCCACAGCCTTTTTGGGATTCGTGCTGTGGCTAGCTTGTTATCGTGTGAACTGCAAAAATCACACGTGGTCCTGCAATCCTCCAGTGATTTTGTGACCTTGCAGGACCAGCTGTGTGTAACACTGTTGCTACTGTTTCGGGTCTGAAACGCTGCTGGTGGGCTGGGAGCTCGAAGGTAAAACGCATTCATCATGTTACACTCCGCTTACACACCCAGCAAAAGGACGGAGTCTGGTGTTTACCTCTCTACAGTCAAGGTTCAGATTCTGGTCTCCAACCTCCAGCTTCAAAACCTCCACCTGGTAGTACCACTCCTCGACTATAGGGGTGTACCACAGGGACCCCCGATACAGAGTCGGCTCAACTCCGCCCATTATCTGTGAAAACAGAGAGAAGGGAAAGAAAACATTGACTCAAGCAAAGGTTGATCCATCTGCTCACATTCTGGCAGACCACAGCACAAAAATACACACAAGCACCCTGCCATCTAATCCATCTGTCTGCACCAGCGGGTCACATGATGGAGAGGCAGCGAGCGAAGCACCAAGGTCGCACACACAACAGTGACAGATCTGCTCTCAGCAGGATCCTGTCTTAGTTTAATTAGCTTCTCTCTAACCAGACTGAGCTTCCAAAAGGAGAAATACGCCAACAGGGAGGAGCTGGCCTGTCTGAGCCACTAGTCTTTAATCATCACTAAGAAACAACATAAAAAGGTTACGTTTCAAAAGAGAAACGTTTTTGATCTGTTAATTTCACCAAACATGTCTGTAGCCATCTTGATTACTCACGAGACTGCCAGCCGGAGGATCTGCAGCGCTGCTGGCCGACAGACCAGCACCACACATCTGGAGGGAAAACATATCGGGAATTCCGAGCTGCTTCACCACAGAGTTAAAGAAGGGCTCCACGGATGAGTCCGGCTGACGGAGAGATGACACATGCACAGTCAGTAAAACCCACACACTTATCTAAACATGAGCTGTTCAGTGTGATTAGATGCATAATTTTATTTCACCAAAGACTAAAACTAGGTTAGAATCAAGGACAGACTCAGATATGCACCCATTCTGGGTTTTGCTCAATAAGAGAGAAACTTTGTTTTTGAATGAGTCCAACTTTATTTGCAAATGCAAAACAAACACTTATTTGTCACTCTGATGAAATCCACACTTCAGTCGCAGGAAGTTGATCCCAAAAAGTAGCTTTGGTTGGATGATGTCATTATAATCCAGTTAATAATGAATTATCATTTCAACATCTCTTACAATTAGTTAATTATATAAACTAATAAAAACAACAAAATATAAAATAAGCTTATAAAAAAGTATCATTTAGAAGGACCAGAGGAGGGATCATAAAGACTGGACTTGTCCTGTAAAGTGAGATCCAGTGACCACATTCAGATTAGGTCTGACTGAAGATGTGTGGCACCGTAACAGATATGTGAGACAGGAGCAGAATCTTCTGCAGCCCTGCAAGATTCAGCCTTCCTGCTCCACTCCATATCTCATTCTCAGGTCTATGGAACCCTTGAAGTGCCGCCCATCTTTTGTGCACAAAAGTGCACACAAGAGAACTTACTTGACAACAATCTTCAGGTGTGCACATAATTTCTTCTGCACTTGTTAGATTTATTATCTTTCATGCAGAACAAAATAAAAGCCAATGTCATCGACCCGAAACATTTAGGTTCAAAGAACTACAGAAAATAGAAGAGCAACAAACTTATAAGAAGTTGACCGTTAGCAAAGCAGTCAGACTCCAGGCTAATATGGTGTAAACATGCTTGAGATCCTTAAAGACTGAAAAGTCAAACATGAACTATTCTGACCTCCTTTGTACAGACAGAACAATGAAAATGCACCTATGGCATGTTAGGAGTTCTGTGCATTCTCCTACATCTTATATGTAACATGTCAACACTATCAAAGGTAAAAAAATAAACAGTTATGGTCATAATACTAATGCAAAAATACAAATAATGACTGAACTGAAACAAGAGACAAGATCAAAGTCATTTCTCACAACTATGAATCGGCTGCAAGTCCAAACGTTTTTCTTTCCTAGTTTTATTCATTATAAATAATTGCAGTGTTGGCTGTGCTTAAACAAACTTTGTCCTTTATCAGCTGATAAATATGTATTATAGTAACACATAAAACAAATGTAATTGATATAAAATTAATTCTCTATACATAGTAAGGAAAGCAAAAAATGCATTTTCCCCCACTCACATACAGAAAGGCACTGTTAGTGACACTGGTCAGTTTTAAAGGGATATTCCACCCCTAAGTGTAATTTAGTCTGTTGCCATTTTCCCCAGAGTTAAATAAGTGGTAACGAGCCCAGTCATTCTCCTGATCTGATAGTATTCTGTTAGCTTTAGCTTAGCATAAACAAAGTAAGTGAATGGCAACAGATTGCACTTGGTGTGAAAACGATTCAATAGGGAGCCCAAATGTCCTCCGTTTCCCGTTGGCTCATGGGTCTCCATGGATTTTAAGTTCATTGAACTTACAGCCATTTTCCCTGTTTTTCTCTGTGAATGGTTTGATGATGTCACTTTGAGGATGCACATTTGTAGCCCTGGACTTACTTTCACACAAAACCTAAAATAACGTTTTCCATCCATTCAAAAATAAGTGCTTTCTTGATGTCAAAATGCATCTTTAAAATTCACGGACATCATATGTGAAATCCGTGGCACATAACAAGCGATGTTAGAAAATAGCGTTTTTAGCCCCATTGACTTGCCTTCATTTTTTTTGGGTTTTTTTGTAGATGGGCATGTCAGACTGCCTAGAATGATGAAAATTTTTTCTTGGCGACCTCAATAATGACAGACTGCAAAACACAAAGGAGTTACAGGAGCCAATTTAGACTTAGGGCTAAATGCTAGCTGTTACCATTCACTTACATTGTTTATGCTAAGCTAAAGCAAACAGAATACTGCCAGATTAGAGGCCCCACGTCTATGTCATGGTTATAGGACTTTGACTTTGTTTTGGTATTTTTTAAAGGCCTTAATCAGTTAAACTTTAAGAAATGCCATCTCACCCGTGACAACGTGGGATAGGCCAATCCCAGGATGCCTTGCCAGTTGATTCCAGGGAGAAAAAAGCCGTCGGATGACAAGATGGCTGCAATGTTGATGATGATGGTTCCATCTGGGCCTTTTGGGATGGAGACGACATCAATTCCCAGCTCACCTTCCCAGTTTCCCTGGGTGTACCTGACACCTACAGGTCGACCGGACGACCGGTAGGTGCTGGAGCTAAACAGAGGAAGAAACCAAGGAGACAATAGTAATCCTTTAAAATAATCCAGGCTATCACATCAGAATTCATCCATAAGCATTAACTATTAGACTATTTTTCTGTGACAAAGGTAAGACATTTCCTTCATAACGGTTATTTTCATTGGTGTGTGGATTGTGCCACACACTGTGTGGAAGCCACTCACAGTTTAGTGTTGAAGTAGTGAGTAATGAATGGGTGTGGAGCTGCAGCCACAGCAAAGTTACTGCTGCCGGTATCCACCAGGATGTTCAGCTGAAAAACACAGAGAGGAGTGTTCTTAACAACTATGTCATCAGGCCTAGCTTAAATAACAACAGGAACAGTGGAAGCACAATGCTGAGAAGGTTTAGGTTTGTACCAACGTGGATTTGATTACTTTGCTTTAAAGTCGACTTTCTCCTTATAAAGTCACTATTTTCACAATTAAACAAACATGAGTAGAATTTCAGTACTGGAAGTTAACCTAATTCTGAACTTGGCAAAACTCTCATCAAGCTCACTGAGCTGGTGTTAAGATCTCTGCTGTTGAGCAAGAAGACTCCACATCACTGGCTCTGGCATAATCACTCTCTAATGTGTGATCTGTGAGACGAACACGACGGCCCGGAGCCACACACATGACAGCACGACCCAGCCAGCCGTTTGGGTATATGTCATGTGGGGACCGGCTAACAGCAGCTGAGATAATTCTGTCTTGCAGGCATCAAATCAGCGAGTAGGAACTAATTAGCCAGCAGACTTCTGTCATCTCCACGACTGCACTGAGGCCTCCTTAAGAGTCACTAGAAAGCATTCCTGGTCATAAACCCAATGCCCCATAACCCCTTGGCTGATTTCTGTTAGACAGCTGATCTTTAATGACCGATTAACACATCGCTACTGTTTAAGTAAACAAAAGAGCAGGAGCTAGCTGAAAACATTCATGCAAACTGGTTAGTCAACACACTGCCTCCTCCTTAAACAATCAAACACCAAACAGAAAGTTTCCTACTTCCTTAACTAGAATATCTCACTGTTCAGCTATGGGGTGCAAGTACCCATGATGTAATTATTAACCAGGAGTTGATGACTTATTCTTCAGGCTACGGAAAGGCTCTGCTGGTCTGTCTGTAAGAGTTGGGCTTATCAGCTGGCTCTCATCCAGTCACTGTCACAGTGCCATCAAAAACCCACCTCGCGGGTGGCAGTGGTCCACTGACACGCCGTCTTAACAAGCTAAACAAGCCAGACTGGAAAATACTGGAATCTGGCGGTAAAAGAATGAGGATGGTGAGCCGAGGGCATTTCCTTGATCCCATGCTGCGAATCTGTATCTCTGCTCCCCGAGCTCAGCTCCTGAGCCTCAGGCACATCTCTTCCCCTGATGCGGCAGCCTGCCGTTGAGCGCTGGCTGTCTAATTGGCAGTGCCTCCATGGTGGCACCGTGCATCTGCTACCTGTTTGTACCAATTAGCAGACGCGAGGCTCTCCACCCGGTACCTCAGCCTGGCTGTGCCACATGTTAACAGATGCAGCGATTAGAGGCTGATTTAAATAGTGCCTCATTTAAACCCCTGGCCTTGTAATCACATCATGATTTAGTTAGTATAATACTGAGAGTATGACCCAATAGTATTGAATTAACAGCACATTTGGCACTGCATAGCCAATTTGAAGCTAAGTGAATTGAGCTCTGCTGGCGTGAATAACTGATGTAATGGGTTTGATGCGATTATGCCCAAAGAGCAGACGTGTAATGGTCCGTATGTCAGAGTGGAAACACCAAAACGTGGAAAACAGCTGTTTTAGATGATTATCTTATCCATTACCAAGTCTTTAGAGATTGCAAATTTCTGGATATGCTGTAATCTAATTGCTGTAACTTTTAAGCTAACTTCACAAACTGCCAATGACAGAACAAAAACAAACAAACAAAAAAAAAAACATATCAGCGAGTGTTTTCTTCTGTGGCTTCCATAGTCTGCTGCTAGAGTTGATCTTATATGGATGTTTGTTTACTGCTGACAGGAAGCACACAGGTGTCTACTGATTTTCTAAAAAGCTATCTCTTTTGAGAGCCTTGCCGTTATGCTAATTTGATAACTTGATTGCTGACTAGAACTGATCTACTGTATTTCATTAGTTTCAACCATAAAGAAGGGTATTAGTCCTTTCAACCTGTAAATTTCCTGCTAGATAATGTGTTTATCAGAAGTCAGCAGCTGAGGCACCCTTTGCATTTTTATTGCATCTTACATGGAGTCACTGATCAGTTTTGACAGTAATGGGCCTTTGTTCAGGGTCTGCATACCATGCCCAATAGAATAAAGGTACTTTGTCTTTGTCCAATAGCCAAAGTACGCTATTGGACATGGATGACATCCATTTTACATGTTTATTTGACACGTTACACTCTGTCTAATGGACAAAGTGCACATGCTGTATTAAAACAGCCATGGTAACTAAAATTATATTTCATAAAATACTGAAATATTTCCTAATGATTAAATCTTTTGCATGCAGAGATGTGTAAATTCAGGTTTTGGTGGCAGAAACTGGTTCTCCGAGTAGCCAATACCGATATTGGTTTTGTGATTATTGTTATAAATGCAAATTTTCACCTCTATTTTCAAATATCTGTTTACATGAGTCACAATTTGAGTATATTTCATGGTGACATAGCGATCAGATTTTTTCATCTACTCACTGGAAAACAGGATGCTTTGTAGATGTCCATTTCATTTCTATTTGTAAAACACAATGGAACGCATTGTTTGAATTATTGTATTTTCTGGGGATTACTTGTGAAAGGGTCACATGGCTGATCATGAATAATTAGAATTTACACCTCTGCTTCATAGTTACTATACATTTGATTATCCATGCATCCTGGAGAAAGTCATCAGGGATAAAATGTTTCTATGAACAATTGTGTTAGTGACTAATCACTTTAGGTCATTCCTCATTTGAGAAGCACTTAAAGGGTCTGCATCATGATATTTTACACCTTCCAGAGCAAATATATGAGAGCACACTATATGATAAAATATTACCATTGGCACTATTGAGATGTCCATTTAATTTTGTGAGCTACTTATTTAACACAAAAATTTGTCGCTTTCAAAAGACACCAAAGGCTCCCTCAGCTTTGCAGCAAATAAGCACCATTGTTTTATGAAAGAGGCTCAGACACTTGGATTCAACTAGACCCTGCCTCCACCCGTGTGAATTCCACAATAGTACACAGCTGCAGACCCAGAAACCCAAGATTCACACTTGCTGTGAATTCACATAGTTATGGAGAAATCACTTCTTCACAACTATGGACATTAGACTTCCTGCTAGCTACATGGATTGACTGGGCATTAGTGTTTACAGTCCAAGGAAGGATTTGAGTCTACCTGGAGGGGGAAGAGTGAGCCACTGGGATGTATCCAGCCATCTGCAATAGCTTAGCAAATATTTGCAGAACTGAAGGGAAGAAGCAGCCGAGACAGGAAAATGCATGTGTGAAGCCAAAAACTGCTTCGGGGTGTTTTTCATGAGGAAATATAAAGTAGTCAATAGCTCCAAAAATGGATTTTGCATGATGAAAGACCTTTAAAACTCATGTGTTTCACAAGGAATTGTGTTAAGCAGCTCTTCTGGACTTGTCTTGCTCCTTGAAGACATCTCCTTCCATCCAAAAGGCCCCTTCAGTTCTGCTACATGTTACATCTCTAATAATCCCTTACGGGCCTCAGAAGCTAAGACGTAGCACCCAGGAGTTTTAAACGCTCTGATCTGTTTAACCTAAGAAGCCCAGGGGCAACGGGCCAATTTACTAATGAGATAATTCACCTTTGATTTAAGCTCCACTTCAAAGTGACCACTTTACACAATGGCACCCTTAAGGCCTCATGTATTCTTAATTTCTACTCATCCACATTTAGCTCTTCTTAATCATTAATATGATCTTGTTCCACTCTTTACAAAAACAACAATGGATTAACACATTTATCCATCTTAAAAAAAGAAGAATAAAATCTTGCCCGGAAACCAGTGCTGGTGCATTTTTGTGCCAATTTGAGGCTTGCTCTTTGCGCTCTGGGAGCCTCATAATCCCAGTCAGCTGCCTGGAAAGCAACACTGGTCTGTGCCGGCAGCATCATGTGAGCGCATGTGAATGGGAAGTCTGGCCTACCTACAGAACCCAAGGCGGCTGAAGTAACTCTCAGCTGCAAAACAAAACGGCTGATTTCATTTCACAAGGAGGTAAAATCATAAGATAAAAGTTGACAGTCATTTTTTCCACACAGGGCTCCTCTTATTCTCACAGCCAGGACAGTCTGAAATCATTTCTACATTCCATGAATATTCAAATACCAATCCTAGATACAGTGCCTGTGAAGTCCAGGTGTTGTTAAAAGGGATATCCATTCCTTCTGTTAAGCCAACTATAGATTTCCTTAAAAGTTGGTAATCATGTGCAGCAGCTGTTGTGTTGAGCTTGCAGCACACAGCTGAGAAGGCAGATCTATAGTCGTGATTATTAAACAGAATGCATGCATTCCTTCAGTTTTACATATCGGATCATAAAAAACATTTTTACCAAATCTTACTTCAACTGTACAGCATGCCATTCTCCATTAAAGAAAATAAAAGCTAACTCCACTCTAGGGGTGGGCGATATGGATAAATATATCAGGAATTATGTTTTGCCCCTCGGGGATGATTAAAGTTTTTTTTAAATTGAATTGAATTGAATCATGATCATGATTTTATAATGATTTTGACATTTCAACAATTCAGATGTTTTGGAAGTTATTCACCAGTAAAATACATCAATTTAAAAGCATACCGCTAATGTACAACAACTTAAATTCTACCTAGAGGTGGCTCATATCCTATCATGCACAATATTACCTGTAATTATTTCTTGTCCAGAGAAAAAATGTATCATGTTAAGCGAAATTTATGATGTCATTTGCATCCACTACTCAGAATTACATTCCCACTATTTGGGCCTCACTGCTCTCTGTGGCTGTTTCCGGACTACGTGTGGGGGGTGTTTGGGCCGTTCCTCTCCACAGACTGGATAAACGAAGCTCCGGATGAAAGGGCTCACTACAACACGAACGAACGTCCCCAAATAATAAAAGCCAAGAAGCCAAGTGCAAAGTTTAGAGCAGAACACTGACCCAGAGGTTTCCTGATCGACCAGACGTGTGAGAATACATGTAAGGGCCGCTTAGAGACGGATCAAGCTAGCGGCTTCTTCATACATTCATAATCGTTTATGTCTGCATCTTAATGCGTGCATCAGCTCTAACGAGTACCCCAGCTAAATCCAAAACTTGCTCTGATTGGTTCATCGGTGTGTTTGTCCCGAGGACAGTCATGTTTTTGGCTGGCTTGGAAACATATCAAAGCAGGTACTAAAAAGGGGCGGCGACCATGAACTTGTTCCTAATGGAAACGGACTGAAATCACTGAGTCCTGAGAAGCTTGCTACTAATGGAAAACACCCATCAGTAGGTTAAAGGTCATGGTAGTATGATTAGAAGACTGCACTTTTGCTCTTTTGGAAACCAGTTCTCTTTAAATGAATATCTGCTAAACTTAATCTTTTAAATTTGGTTTAACAAATAATGCCCTAAGAAAGTCATTAAACAAATTCAGGTTGTGTCCAAACTTGGTCCTGCTGGGCCACCATACTGCATTTCTTCTCAGCTTTCAAAACACCTGATTTCAGTGAAGAACACACCTGATTTTAATCCGTAGTGATTAACAGGCTTCTACAAAACTTGATGACCCACTAAACAGGTAATTCATCCATTGAATCTGGTGTTTTGAAGCTGGAACTAAAACATGCTGGGTTGTGGCCCTGCACAAAGTGAACTTTATGATAATACCTTTTGGCCAGGTGTACCGATCGACATTTCTATGTAGTAGCCTCTTCCAGAGTCCCCTTGCAAGTTGCTGACCATATCCAGAAAGTTGACAGTCCCAGTTGGGTCAGAGGCCAAAGAGAGATCGTTCCCATCAGACTTTAAAGCTACGAGTCGAAGAGGAGGCAAGTCTCCATCCGCGGAGACGTTGTACTGCCCCGGGTATATCTTCAGCGGAATGGAAAAGTAGCATTTTGACACGCCAAAGAAAAAACTAAAAGTAAATGCCCACGCTGAAAGAGAAATGAAGATCATGGTTGTAAAAGGTTTTGTTTTTAACAGCGTTATTGATTCCAGAAAGTGTCATAAGACACTGCTCAAACTTTGCTCCTTAAAGTTTTACAGTTAACCGTCATAGCAGCGCCGGTGTCGCCATCATGGAAACGTTGTCCTTTTCACCGTCACGAAAAAACCGCAGATACCAGTCAACAGCAACAGCGTGTGACTGTCTACCCTGATCAAACTTCACGTAGTTGGTACTTTTCGCAGATGTTTCGCCTCCATCTCCAACTGTGTCAAGTTTATCGTTGAAAAAGACTTTAGTTCCGGTTTTCAACTTTCAGAATAAAGGCAACGCGCCGGTAGTTTTCACAAATTACTAAAAAAATCAACAACAAATGTTCTTGTCAAATACACGCTTATTAAATTTGAGCTGCTTTATTTTGGGTCGAAACAATTACGTTTTGTTGTACTGTCAACTTTATTCCACGTTGATAAGCTTTTATTTTGAAGGCTAGTTGACGGAACCGTTACATTTATTTTTAAACCAGCTGTTTCCGCCACTTTCTCTCCACGCCTGAGCAACTATTTAATAGATTAATGCATTTGATCGACTTCCACCGCAGTTTGGATTGATGTGAACTATGCAAGAGCAAATATGAGTAAACATTTTTCTACTGCTGTAGTTACTCATTTTTACTTTTTGATGAAAATGAAAAGTTCTAATCTGTCCAACCAGTAAAATATCTGGACATAGAGATCTTTATTTTTTAAATAAATATTTTCACTTCTTACAAAAGTTTTACAAATTTTAGAAAATATATTTATATGTCAGCATATTCAATTCAATTCAATTCAAGTTTATTTATATAGTGCCAAATCACGACAAGAGTCGTCTCAAGGCACTTCACATAATAAACATTCCAATTCACAGTTCATTAAGCCAATCAGAAATAATGTTTCCTATATAAGGAACCCAGCAAATTGCATCAAGTCACTGACTAGTGTCAGTGACTATACAGCAATCCTCATACTAAGCAAGCATGCAGCGACAGTGGAGAGGAAAACTCCCTTTTAACAGGAAGAAACCTCCAGAGAATCCTGGCTCAGTATAAGCAGCCATCCTCCACGACTCACTGGGGATCGAGAAGACAGAGCAGGCGCGCACACACACACACACACACACACACACACACACACACACACACACACACACACACACACACACACACACACACACACACACACACACACACACACACACACACACACACACACACACACACACAAAGACAAGTAATGTGTCTATAGTTATATTGTGATGTCTTAGTAAATATTGTATTTGGTGAAAGATAAACTTTATTGTATTTATCCTAGTGGATCTATAATTAAACGGATAAACTAGTATTAGCACATCAAAAGTCAATGAAAACAAAAAAGTTATTATCAGGAGAGAGAGAATGTATTAGTGGTTAGCAGCAGTGTGCTAGTCGATGGCCCCCTCCATGAGGCCACCACAGTTCAGCAGAACGTCACCTTAACTTCTTCTGGGGAGAAAAACACTTACAGAGAAAATAAAGTTAACAGCTGAAATTGCACAAAATAGTACAGTTAAAGAGCAGACTGTAGAAGAAAGCAGTAGAGTGTGAAAAGTGGTCAGTGTATCCTCCAGCAGTCTAAGCCTATAGCAGCATAACTACAGAGATAACTCTGGATAATCTATCCTATTTAGGTGTAGGCATGTTGGAGTCAGGGCAAGGGAGAGCCGTCTTTACCGACTGTACACTCCACCTCCCTGTTCTCCCCCACTTGTCCAGATTTAGGCTGACATCAGATTTTAACCATAGGCCCTATCAAATAAAAATGTTTTAAGCCTAGTCTTAAAAGTAGACAAAGTGTCTGCCTCACGGACTAAAGCTGGGAGCTGGTTCCACATGAGAGGAGCCTGATAACTAAAAGATCTGCCTCCCATCCTAAGTTTAGATATTCTTGGAACCACCAGTAGACCTGCAGTCTGAGAGCGAAGTGCTCGGTTAGGAACATATGGAACAATCAGATTACTGATGTATGATGGACCTTGATTATTAAGAGCTTTATATGTGAGAAGAAGGATCTTAAAATCTATTCTGAATTTAACAGGTAGCCAATGCAGGGAAGCTAAGACAGGAGAGATATGATCTCTCTTTTTAATTCTCATCAGAACTCTAGCTGCAGCATTTTTGGACAAGCTGAAGACTTTTAACTACATTCTGTGGACTTCCTGAGAGTAATGAATTACAGTAATCCAGTCTTGATGTAATAAATGCATGAACTAGTTTTTCAGCATCACTCCTGGAAAGTATGCTTCTAATCTTAGCAATATTCCGAAGGTGGAAAAAGGAAATCCGACAAACTTGTGAAACCTGGGATTTGAATGACATGTCCTGGTCAAAGATAACACCAAGGTTCCTTGCTTTGTTCTCGGAGATTAATGTAATGCCATTAAGGTCAGGCGATTGGCTAAGCAATTTCTTTTTCTGGATTTCTGGTCCAAAGATGAGAACTTCCGTCTTGTCTTGATTTAAAAGCAAAAAGTTTAGAGTCATCCAATTTTTTATGTCCTCAAAACAAACCTGTAATCTACCCAACCGATTAGGTTCATCAGGGTTAATGGACAAATATAACTGAGTATCGTCAGCATAACAGTGGAAGTTTATCCCATGCTGTCTAATGATTTTACCAATTGGGAGCATATATATAGTAAAAAGAATTGGTCCAAGCACTGAACCCTGTGGTGCTCCACAAGTAACCCTGGAGTATGAAGACGATTTGTCATGTACATTTACAAAATGAAATCTGTCAGACAGGTAGGATTTAAACCAGCCTAACGCTGTTCCTTTGATCCCTACAACATGTTCAAGTCTTTCTAAAAGAACATTGTGATCAACTGTGTCAAAGGCAGCACTGAGATCTAACAAGACTAGAACAGACACAAGATTCTTATCTGAGGCCATGATAATATCATTTGTAACTCTCACTAATGCAGTTTCAGTGCTGTGATACTCTCTAAAACCAGACTGAAATTCCTCAAACAGAGCATTAGTGTTTAAATGCTGACATACTTGGAGGGCCACTATTTTCTCCAGGACTTTGGATAAAAATGGAAGGTTAGATATTGGTCTATAATTCACTGGGTCATCTGGATCCAGAGAAGGCTTCTTAAGTGAAGGTTTGATTACAGCAACCTTAAAATCTTGTGGTACATACCCATTTACTAAGGATAGATTGATTATATCTAGAATGGGGGCAGTAACCAAAGGAAATGCATCTTTAAATAATTTGGTTGGGATTGGATTCAAAATGCAAGTTGAAGGTTTAGATGAAGCTAATATTTTTGATAACTCTGAAAGCTCAACTGGATCAAAACGGTTCAAGCACAGATGAGTTTCTACAGTCACCTCTGAAGCTGCCTCACTTACTGAGGAAGAAGAAATCGCATTAGGGAGGATGCTAAAGATTTTGTTTCTAATAGAATTAATTTTACTTGTGAAAAAATCCCATGAAGTCATTGCTGCTGAGGGCTAAGGGAATAGATGGCTCAGAGCTATGATTCTGTGTAAGTTTAGCAACTGTACTGAAAAGAAATGTAGGATTATGCTTATTCTCCTCAATTAATGCTGAAAAATAAGCAGTTCTAGTTTGTCGAAGCTTATTTTTATAAAGCACAAGTCTATTTTTCCAGGATAGGTAGGCCTCCTCATGGTGCGTAGAGCGCCATGTTCTCTCCAATTTCCTAGAGTTTTGTTTTAAGGCTCGTAGATGAGAGTTAAACCAGGGAGCCAACTTCTTGTCCCTAATTACCTTCTTTTTTAAAGGGGCAATATCATCTAATGCCACACGTAAAGACGAATTAACATGATGAACTAAGGCATCAATTTGTGAGGGGCTAGAACTGAGAATATTGCCCTCTGCTACATGCCGCTGAGATGCTGAGGACAGTAAAGATGGAACAGTTGATTTAAAAGACGCAACTGCGTTGTCAGATAGAGACCGACTATAGTGAAATTTACTTTCATGTCTCGAGAACTCAGTTATAAAAAACTCAAAGGTTATCAGAAAGTGGTCAGAGAGGACTGGATTATGTGGAAAGATTGTTATTTCCTCACACTCTATGCCATAAGCCAGAACAAGGTCCAATGTATGATGGCAGGAGTGGGTGGAGCTATGTATTCTTTGAGTAAAACCAATTGAGTCTAAGATATTACTAAAGGCTACATTGAGGCAATCATTTTCAATGTCCACATGAATATTAAAATCCCCCACTACAATGACCTTATCAGTATTTAGCACCAAATCAGATAAAAAATCAGAGATCTGATCCAAAAACTCAGAGTAAGGGCCTGGTGGACGATATAAAACTACAAACAAGAGTGGTTTTACAGTTTTGCTATCTGGATTAGGAAAACTAAGAATAAGATGTTCAAACGAACTGTAACTATTAATCTGTAAGGGACTGATTAATAAGTCCGAATGAAAAATGGTTGCTACTCCTCCTCCTCGCCCTGTACTTCGAGCAATATGATGATTTAAATAATTTGAAGGAGTCGACTCGTTTAAGCTAACATAGTCCTCTTGCTGCAGCCAGGATTCCGTGAGAGAGAGCAAAGAGATCTGATTATCACAAATCAACTCATTAACTAACAAAGTCTCAGAAAAAATGGATCTAATGTTCAACAACCCACATTTAATTTTTCTAGTTTTCTGCTCAGTTGAATTTGTTCTAATATTTATGAGATTTCCATGATTTGCTTTATTAAGCCTGATATTTAATCTGTGTGATTTTGGCCGTGGGCAGGACACTGTCTCTATGGGGTAGTGGGTGGGTAACAGTACAGAAGCTGCAGAGGGGTGGGTTAAACTATGACTCTGCTTCCTGGTCTGGACCCTGGGTTGTCATGGAGGACTTCTTGTCATGGAGCATATCTTGTTTTAACGAATAAAATCAAACTCGACAAATCTACAACAATCTCTAAAATCTTTGTTAGAACCGTTTGTGGATTTTAAAACACCACTGGATCACCAAATAACTTTAAAATTGTGTTTATAGAAATGTAGGTAAGATGATATATAAAACAATTAGAACAGAAAAGGCAATGCAGTGTCTCAAAAATGAGTTAATAAAACAAGATTGGACTATTGTATATAAATATAAGGATGTCAATAAAGCCTATGAGGCATTCTTACGTATATTCATGGCCTTATTAGAGAAAAATAGCCTACTTATTGAAGTCAACAGGAAAGACAAATATACAGGAAGACCATGGATGACGAAGGGACT